TTTAATGATTTATAGGAAGTCTTACTAGGATGCATCACGTTAATTAAATTCAATTAATAATTTATAATATATATACAACAAAAGATTAGAATGGGAATAGCGGAGGGTGGGGTGGATTCCAAGAATAATTTGCTCTTATAGTTCTTATTTATTAATTAAATTTTTAAAAAACTCTTCATGAAGAAATACGAATTATATAAAACGCCCCTATCCCTCTGTCTTGTATATCAAATTTATGCCCCTTCAATGATAAATGTACTCAGTGAACTTTATAACGTACAAAATCGTACTCTCTATAGACAGCTGTACAGTGAGTACAGTAATGCAGGTTTTGGGTTCAAACTTTTCGAAATTCAACCAGCTCGAGCAGTCCAGTTGTGGTATGCATTACGCAGTAGTTGAACTGTAAAATTTGCTGCCCATATCAATTTATGGTGCTCGCCTTTAGATGTACATAGAAATAAACGTTAATCGGTGATTCCCTAGTATACGGTTTTTGGAACCCCCCCCCCCCCCCCGCGGCCCCTCCTATCAATTTCCACATATTTTTATCGATATTTAGGTAGTTTTAAAAAATACGCACATGGATAAAGTTGGTCTTGTGGCCGCAGCGCTCGGCCCAGAAAGTTTCTGAACCTAACCAAATCCAAAATATATACTGTTTTTTTTAAAGATTGTTGAAATTGAAGGTCTGTCCTGGCCGCGGCGTACAGCCCCCTAGCCTGTCCTAGCTGCAGCACTCGGCTCAGAAATTGTCCTTACCTAACCATAACCCTGAAATAATACATAATGAATTATTTTTTATGTTTATAGTTTTAATTTACAAAATTGCTACTAGGACGGACCCCGTTAACCAATCAAAATCAAAGCTGCCTATCTAATTCATAACCAACGAAATTCTATACTAACTTTTTGGTAAATGAGGGGTAGGGGGAATGTCATCATCAGCCCCCCTCTCTATATGAATATGGGCATGGCAACTTATATTTTCAGTTTAACAGGAATTAAACCGGCGGTGTTTTAATTCAATACCATAGACTAAACTTTTTTCCCTCTAAAATTCATATATATATATCTATTTGACAAATGGCCATTTAAACTAAATACATGTTTAACAAAATTGGGTAAATAATTTTAGAGTTAGAACAGAGGGTGGGTGATTTCCCCTAGAAAATTTCCCTGTATAATTTCAGGAGAAATGTCTATGGTGAGTAGGATTAGACGACGAAGCACAAAAGATATTCCTGCAGGTTCCCCACTACTTGAACAATCTCAATTCCTGGAGGTGAACACTGAACATATACATATATAAATATACTAGCCTATATACCCAGCGTTGCCCAGCTGGTACTGTAGTTACTTCATCCGTTTACCCGCACTAATTCATAAATTACGATTTTAGCTATTTTTTCCTCTTTAAGTCTACTATACGTTAAGTTCGTTGGAATCTCAAAGCAAGCCAAGAAAATTCCCGTGGTTCTCCCGAGCTTCCCAATCGAAATTTTAGACAAATCCAGGGGTTCATGAGTTATGATCGGACATTCAAACAAAACATCAAACAGAGATTACTACTTTATATATATAGATATATAAAAATATATTTATATATAAGTTTACACACGCATTTTGCCTCGTCAACTCGTCATATGATCAGTATACATGACTGGTTGGTACTTTTTAAAAAGAAAATTTTTTAAGGTCATCTTCCAGTTTTATTGGATCTTCGGTTGTTTTTCCCCTTAGTTAAAAAATTACTTAATTGACCCTTTGTTTAGGTTCCAAACTCTGGCCGAAGGCAAGGTTCTGGTTCTCAAGGTAGCAAGGGAAGCAGAGGGAGCAGAAATACAGTTTATGGTTCCACGGCGGGTTCCTCGAAATATCATTCAGTTTCTTCGGTCCATGGAGTTCCATCCCAGGAACTTCATCCAGGCAGACGAAGTTCCATTGGTAGACAAGGTTCCATTGGTCCACAGGGTTCCATTGGGAGACAAGGTTCCATTGGTCCACAGGGTTCCATTGGGAGACAAGGTTCCATTGGTCCAGAGGGTTCCATTGGGAGACAAGATTCTATTGGGAGTGGTGGAGGCTCTCAGCATGATTCATATAGGTTAGAGTTATAGGTTATGTTAGGGGGGGGGGATGATTTTACAAAACTGTCTTTAACATAATATGATGTTTACTCATGCAATTCAGAGTAAAATTTATTTGAATTTGATTAAAAATATTTTGATGCGGATCCGATTTCTTTAAGATTTACTGACCTGTTCAACAAAGAAGAATTATCAAAACGTTTTTCTTCTTTATTTTGCTTATATTTATGCTAATACTTAATGAACCATGCAGAAATGATGAATTTTTTGATAGCTTAACTTTTTTTAACAGTTCATTAGATTTGGGTTTTTGAAGCAAACAGTTTTTTAGCATTTGGTTGATATTTTGCCTCTTGGATCTGGATCCGTGGATCCGCATATTTTTGCAGATCCGGATCCAGGTAGCCAAAATGTTGCCAATCCAAAGGTTCCCAATCCGAATTCGGATTTAAGCACTGATCTTCGAACTTTATCTATTAAACAATGAGGGATTGGTTTTCTATCTTGAATAGAGTTCTAACAAGTTGATTCATTGCTTCTGCAGCAAAAATTGGCAAATCAATGTACAGAGAATCAACCGCGATAAAAAATCAATGTTCAGACAAAAAAACAAAGATATCATTCACTCATGATAAGAATAAGTTTAAAGTATAATACCATTGTGAATTGTACATGCTTTCTATAAATGGGGGTTCATCAATAAAATAGATCCATAGACTATAAGCATGATTTTATTTGGCCCTCCATGCAGAGGTGGCAATGACCTATTTTTAACGGCACCCTTTAAAGCTTTGTCTGATCAAGTATGAATTAGAAATTTAGAACTGCATGTATTTGATTTTGAAAACTGTTTAATCACATTTGTGGTTTCTCTTCAGAAGGGACTTGCGCATTTCTTCCTTATCAGAATTAGTTACTATCAGAATTTAACACATTGTCTAAGCCGGAAAACCGACGTTATCTTCCATATTTTAGATCAGATTAAATTTTCAAGGATTATTTGTAAATCTGGCAATATAAATCTTTGCATGGAGGGTCACTAAAATTACGCTTCAAGTTCCTTTAAGGCAGTCTGTAAATTTTATCTCTTTAATAATTCTTAAACAAGAAAAAATTCCAGGAATAGCATAGGATCCATTTCATTTTGATGCGGATCCGGATCCAGGATCCGCCCTGGATAAAAATGTATCTGGTTTTCTGATTTATTGTTTTTTTTAACATATTACAAATTTTTAAACGTTTTCTTCTTCTTTTTCGCTTATTATTTTGCTAAACCGTTTCAGAAATTTGGAATTTTTAAAATCTGTCATTAGTTAACAGTTCTGATTTGTGTTTTGAGAGCAACATCTTTGGTTTTTGGTTTATATTTTGCCCCTGATCCGAATCCGCGGATCCGCATATTTTTGCTGATCAGGATTCTTAGCACTGATTCCAGGATGGAGGCTGAAGATGGTCCCAGAGAAGAGGGAATTCCAAGAAACAACACAACTAGGAACAGAACTGCATGTGCAGGTCAAGATTATTTTTCATGCCGACATTGAGCTTGTCCTCTGCCTGGTGGTCCACACTTTGACCCTTGAGGTCAGCCACCAGTGACGCTCGTGATGCCCCGCTACTTCAAATGGAAGTGATGCGCTGAGATGGGCTCTAACCTGACCTTTCTCAGAATTGACAGGGGGATTGTTTTGTTTGTTTATGTTATATATATATTCTTGATAAATTAATCTTCTTCCCCCTATAATTAATGAAAGTTTTTCAGGGGGGGGGGAAGGGATAATCGAAGTTTTGAGTAAAATGAATTAAAAAGGGGGAAATTCTTTCATTTCTCTTTCTTATATCTTTGAATAAACTCCCCCTTCCCCTCCCCCACTCCATGAGCTAGGGATTTATTTACTGACACTTTTTGGCATTATCTTGATCATTTGTTGATATTTTTTTCTTCAGGAATCCTTGTTTTTGCAGTCATCATTATCATTGGATTTATCATCATTGGCGTGAAGGTACCTTTTATAAATCATGAAGTTATGAATCAACAACTCAAATTTAGTTAGAAAATTATCATTTTTTAAAACTTTTTTCACAAGAAATTACACCCTGATTGAAAGTTTAAAGAGGGTAGTTAAAACTTATATGATACAGTTTCTTACAAATTGCTTAATACATATTTTTGGGGAAAATATTTTAAAATGTTAAAAATATTTATTCGGACTAATTTAGTTTCAAGAGTCTAACTTGGTTGGAGAAGCTAAAGATGAAAAACTCTCTGGTGCAGGTAGCTCTTTTCCTGTATCATCAAATATTAATATTAAAAAGAATGATTCCATATTCTCCATCTTGATTAGAAAGCAAACTCAGAGCGTTGAAGTTTTTATGTTCGCATATTGTATTTACCAAAGGCGGTAAATCATAATATTTAAAGAGGTAAAAGAAGGAACTTAGGAACTAACATTTCATTCAACTTCAATATATTTTAATTTTGAGCGGAATGCAAAGATCATATTCAAATATATTTTTTTTGCACGAACTTTACTAACTGACATTTAAGTAAGCTTTCAACCTTCCCCTTCAGTTTGTTTATATTGCTCCCAGAGAATCATGTACAGAGTACAGTTTGCGTACACATGGGCTGCCTATAGTGTAGTTCTCTGGGATAGGTGGAAGGGGCCCAAAACTTTAGACTGGGTATTGTTATGAAAATCAGTTTTGAAACCTGGGTTTCGCGAATGGGGTAGGGCAGTTTTGTGGAAATAGATATTTTTTGATGAAATATTATTTTATTTAGTTTCTTCATATTCTCCATTTTTTTATTTTTTAAATCAAAATCTACACAAATGTTAAGACCCCTAAAAGGAAACTTGGGAGTTACGTTCAACGATACTCTTTAAAATTTTGGACTATTTACCGATTGTTGGACGATTTCTAGTTTCTGCAACACCAAGGTCACCACGTTTTTACCAATTTGTTCATTTCAGAGAATTTGTCTGGCGTATTTGGTGAAACAACTTTGAACTTAGTGACAACAACGGATTCTCCACTTACAACAACTGAAAATGCTAAATCTGCTTCATCTTGGGTTAGTGATTCTTCAGGAACATTTTGGCACAAAGTTGAAGGTAAAGAAGACTCTGACGTTGTCAATGACCCGAAGGAAGCTAATGATGATGATATTAAAGCAACTAAAGCTGCAAGGATATCTGATGGACCCTCTAAGGATCAAACTGAAACTTCCGCTTATCCGCTTCCAAAGGTTTGTTGTTAAAGGGAATGTAAGTGTCGGTGTAATTTAAAGTGAAACTCGATGCAAAGATGGCTATGTCCGATTTACAATGGTACCCTTCAAAGCTTGGAGGTTCACTTGAAATTACGCTTACAGTCCCTTTAAGAATTTTAAAATTCCAAAGAGAAAGCAATTTAAAATCATTTCTGTGAGGAACTGGCGACTTAATCATAAGTGACCCTAAATTTAAAAAGTTAATTCCTGTTTTACAACAAACCCTAAACTCTTCTGAGCTAAAATAAAAACTTGTTCATCTTGATAAATTCCGTCAATTTCCGTCCTCGTCTCTGTGTAAGAAATCTGCTAGCCTTTATATTGGATAAACCAGAATTTTAAAAGTGATCAATTTTCAGATAAAAACGAGAATATCTCATTTTTGCTCAGACTTCACAATTTAAAGCACAAGTTCAGTAGTGTCAAATTGTCAAATAATGTGTTTATTGTTAAGAATTTGGATGCTGTGAATGTGTGTATCCAGTTGAAGAATATCCTCCTTAGCTCTGTCAGTGTTACTAATAGAGCCATCGTTGAGCAATTCGACTGCTCATCACTAAAAGGTGATAAATTAAAAAAAATTTTATTTTTTTATTTCTGACATAATTACTTTAGAATTTCTTTATACAAGAGAAGTCGAAAAGTCCACTTTAAAAAATATGTAAACCAAGAAATTGGTAAAATTAAATTTGCAAGGAGCTCATTTTTAATTTATGAAAAATGATTTGATTGCACTTTAAACAATTCTTGATTCATTTAAAAATAATGCTTCACCATCTTTCTTGGAACCTTTTTTTCCTAGGGTTTTGAAATTAAAGAGGAAAACGTGGAAATTAATAATTGTATTTCAACATTATTTGTTTAAATTGTGTAGTAAATTCTAATTCTAGAAGGATGATCATACATTAACAATAATAAATTTGATGGTGGTTTGGACCATTCATTTTGATGCATATACATATTTTTTTATGCAAATCCCTTTCTTTCACACAAATTTTCTTTTTTGTTATCGCTATTTTATGTTGTTGATATACTATTTAATGATTTATAGGAAGTTTTACTGATCATGTATATTATTGTTTAGAACTAAATATGTGTGTTTGTTGCGGTTTTGTCTGATCCGGATCCTTAACACTGATTTATGGCTTGAAGTTAAAAAATTCTATTTAGGAAATGTTGTCCCCTCGGGTGCTGGTTCTAAAGCCTTTCTTGATGTAAGTTAACAATATCAACATTAGAATTGAAGTTAAAAACAACTTTCAGGAATGTATGGTTTATGTTGTTAAAGGTATTTTTAAATAGATAAAAAATCTTAGATGCATGAATTACACTGAGAAAAAATCCTCATATTTTGTTCAAATACAAAGTTTCCTCAATCTTAATTACAAAGAAAATGTTATTAATTATTATAATGATTCAGTTGATGCAGTCTAGTGAGGATATTAAGTCCCTCCTAGAAGCCCAGGGAGTTCTTGACAAATCATCAATTCTCAACCTTTACTTTGCCAACCTCATCTCAGGTAGATTTATAATTAGTCAGACAAATTACAAAGTTTTGTAAAAGGATTTTAGGTAATAGTTAAAATCTTGTTTTTTGTGGATCCTTAAAGCTACACATTCTTTAAAGGGGTATTAACAGCCTGGGTGTTTGTTTTAAAAAAGGCATTGTGATTTTTTATTCAACAACTTTCGGTATAAAAAACTTCATAAAATTAAAGGAATAGGATTAAAAAATAAAATAAATGACGAAAAGTAGACTAAATTAAAATAATTTATAACAATTTTTTGTCATGAAAAAGACAAATATGTGACAAATGATTTAGATTATAGTAACCAAAGATTCAGCTATATCAAAACAACATTTTTGGCCCTAAATTATGTTATTTTGAGAAAACCAGAACCTTAAAAAAAAGGTTAAACATAAAAAATATCTTGACTGTTAAGTATTAATTTTGGAATTGTTAAAGGGAAGGTTGGAACCAGCTTTAAGGATGTAAAAGCGGCTCTTGAAGGCGTAAATAATGTAGCTCTGGGAGGAACAAGCATTCCTGAAGTTCTAGTGCAACAGGTAGGATGCAATGCCATTATCCTTAGTTCTTGTGGTAAATATTCTCTTAGTTAACAATACATATGCAGCTTCTATATTAAACAACCTAAGCTCACACGGACAATCATTACTAATATTCTCAATTCTATTTTTTTTCTTCAGGAAACTGATTGTTGAATCATCATTACTCTTCTTCAGACAATTTAACTTCAGGAAATTGATCCATTGCCTTTTCAAATCATCACTGCTCTTCTCCAGACAACATTTTTCAGGAAATTGATCCATTGCCTCCTCAAATCGTCACTGCTCTTTTCCATACTAATATTTTCAGGAGATTGATCCATTGCCTCGTCAAATCATCTGCTCTTCTCCAGACAACATTTTCTCAGGAAATTGATCCACTGCCTCGTCAAGTCAGCATTGCTCGTTTCTAAATAATATTTTCAGGAAATTGATGCATTGTCTCGTCAAATTATCACTGCTCCTCTCCAGACACTTTTTTCAGGAAATTGATCCATTGCTTCGTCTAGTCATTATTGCTATTTTCTATATAATATTTTTAGGAAATTGATCCATTAAGCCTAGTCAGTATTCAAGTCATCATTTCTCTTTTCTATAAAATATTTAAAGAAACTGATACATTGCCTAGTCAAATCATGACTGCTTTTTTCCAAACTAAAATTTTTAGGAAATTGATCCATTGCATCGTCTAATCATTACTGCTCTTTTCCACACTAATATGTTCAGGAAATAGTTCCATTGCCTCGTCAAATCGTCACTGCTATTTTCCATACTAATTATTTTTAGGAAATTGATTTATTGCCTCGTAAAATCATCACTGGTCTTTTCCATACTAATTATTTTCAGGAGATTGATCCATTGCCACGTCAAATCATCATTGCTCTTCTCCATACTAATGCTAGTGAAGCTTCTAAGCACAGAGATCCTTCTTCAGAAGATCTATCCTGGGATGATCAACTATCAAGTGAGAATGTTTTTCAAACAGTTGATTTGTTTATTGTTTTCAAAGGATTTGAATTTGCAGCATCATTTATAATTTCTCTTCTGAAATAATTGGTTCATTCGTGGGCCAGGTCACTATCATAGCCGTAATGATCACCTATTGAATCTCTAAAATGTTTATATCCCAAAGAGCAAAGTTAAACTCACTTTATTTTTATTTCAGATTCTGATAGAAGATCTGGAGGAAAAATTGTTTACTGTGATCCACAGAGAGAGCTAAGGAGTAGGGATAAAACTCAATGCTATCCAGTTGAGAAACATTGTGACTTCAAGGTATAGTATTTACACTAGGTGTCAAGTATCAGTTATCCTGGTTTCCCTGTTTTCAAAACCCAGTACTCCTGGTTTCCCTGGTTTCTTGTCCTAGTTATCCTGGTTTCCCTGGTTTTAAGCTCTAGTTATCCTGGGTTGCCTGGCTTAAAGTCCCAGTTATCCTTGTTTCCCTGGTTTCAAGTCCCAGTTATCCTGGTTTCACTGGTTTCAAGCTCCAGTTATCCTGGGTTCCCTGGTTTCACGCCCCAGTTATGCTGGATTTCCTGGTTTCAAGTCCCCAGTTATCTTTGTTTCTCTGGTTTCAAGTCCCCAGTTATCCTGGTTTCCCTGGTTTAAAGTACCAGTTATCCTGTTTTCCCTGGTTTCGATTCCCAGTTATCTTGGTTCCCTGGTTTCAAGTCCCAGTTATCCTGGTTTCAAGTCCTAGTTATCCTGGTTTCCCTGTTTTTAAAACCCAGTACTCCTGGTTTCCCTGGTTTCGTGTCCTAGTTATCCTGGTTTCCCTGGTTTTAAGCTCTAGTTATCCTGGTTTCCCTGGTTGCAAGCCCCAGTTATCGTGGATTCCCTGGTTTAAAGTCCCAGTTATCCTGGTTTCAATTCAAATTGATTCTGCTTTTTTTTGACCCCCTAATTAGCTCCAACGGCATAATATTTGTTTCAATTTTAATCCTTTCTTATGATCCAAATTTACTGTATTGTATCTTTATCTTGATAAGGTGGATTGTGACGACTTTTCTGATGAAGATAGTTGCTCGTGTACCGACCGTCTAATTGATGCTAGGTAATCAAAACCTCGTTTATTCTATTATATTTTCTCAATGCTACTTTTCACATACTAAACCAATTTAAATGATTCAGTTTTTAGTTACAGCCATAGACCGCCCAATATAATTTTGTGACACCAGGAGGGGTATTTAAACCTTTTAAGGAATTGGTATAAGCAATACTTTTATTCAAGTGACCCTCCTTGCAAACTTAGATGGCAATGTCCGATTGACAACGATACCCTTAAAACCTTTATCTGAAAAATAATGTTCAGCATGTTTTCCTGCAGTAGAAATGCGCATATCACTTTTTAAGAAAACACCAATTGTAAATGAACAGTTTTCAAAAGGTTAACATTCACATATAATTCATACTTGATCAAACAAAGCTTTTTAGGGAACAGTTCAGGCCTGATCGGCAAATTCAGGAATTTATCCAAGATTTTTTTCTGTCGGGGGGGGGGGGGAATGCCCAGCAAATATTGGGGCCAAAAAATCCCCTGAAAATCATAGATTGTACCGATCCAGGGGACCCTTCCCTCCCTCTCCTGAATACGCCTTGGTACTGTTGTAAATCAGACATTGCCTGACATCTTTGCTTGGAGAAGGGTCACTTGAAATTACGCTTAAAGTCCCTTAAATATTTTGTTAGGTTCTGTGATGGGTATGCAGACTGTAGGTTTGGAGAAGATGAAGAGATCTGTGGTTGTCCACTAGATAAATCATTCTTCTGTAGGCCAGAGGAAATATCAGGGGATCCAGAGTGTATTAATCGGGTAAGACATCATTTGGATTAGTCCTCCCCCCCCCGTCCTGAAAAAAAGTTTTATCTCGTGATTTTTAAAATTTGATTTATAGATTTTTTCAATTACCACTCATCAATGCTTGTTCCTTACTATATTAGGCCAGGTTGAAATAGATGAACAGTCGAGGAGGCTATCCTTTTTAGAAGGGTGGGGAGGGGGGGTCCATATTACAATTGTAAAACATCATCTAAATTGCCTTTAATTATGTTTGAATTCTGTTATTGATAGGCAATACAATTTTACATCGGACACCTGTATAGGCAAAAAACGAACCATTAACAATCATTTTTGGATCATTTTACAGTTTTTAGGTATTTTAGATATTTCAAAGTTTAAGAGGAAACAGTTTAAAAAAAAGTTTTATTAATTTTTTTAAAACCAACCATAATGAGGCACAACAGTAAAGTTGAAACCCATATAAAAATCCAATTTTATAAATTGACTTTACACCATACAGGAGCTTGCTTGTGATGGTGTGACTGATTGTTCCAATGGAAGGGATGAGGATGGATGTTTATCAATCTACCCAGAGAACACAGATATTCGGAATTTTAAACCGGCATATTCAGACCTCACAGGTTGGTCGGAATATCTAACAATTACTGACAATTTTGATTTTTGGGGTGGGCTGTTAATAGATCACAAAGAAATGGCCTTATTTATGACTAGGTTTGATCTTAAAGCCCTCCCCCTCCCCACCCTCCACCCAAGACTGCTGGGGGATAGACTACTCTTCCCTTGACTTTGTTTCAAGTTTGTAAATACAATGGGATCCTTTGGAATAGGAAAGCTTGGCACTGCACAATTGCTGCGTTTCATTTTCATTGGACAATTTTGAGACTTAACGTCGTCTTCCTATTCTTCAATTGTTACAGATTTTATAGAAATTTCTGTCTTTTATCAGGAATTCTGAGTATACGGTCTGGAAATGAATACAAATACCTGGCTCTCACAGAATCTGATTCCACAGGACTACAAAATCTTGGAGATAGGGTAAGTTTACTTATTGTTCTAATAACTTCATTTTAACGACTTGTTAACTCTTAAGGCCTGCTTGAGTTTAAAGTATATGTAGGAAAAACTTGAAGTTTTATCCACACGGTACATCAAACTGTTAAGTACGTCAAATACCAATGTTATTAATATTTAAGTTTCAAGGATTTCAAGAGACTGGTGAAATTTAATCGTAAAGAATGGTAGAAAATTGGGTAACAATCAACCCTGAAACTTCAAAGAAAAAATGTCCAGTTAATTCGACATTTTTGCATTTTTTCGTATTTTTTAATCCAATAATAGTTTTGAGTACCTTAGTCCATTTATTTTGATTTGATAAAAACTATTGATGTATTTTTTACAGGCGTGTGCAGGTTTCAAAGAGCTTGATGTGGCTTCAGTTACTGTTGTAAAATCTTTCGTAGACCCAATTTATGTGGTTTCTCTTACTAATTTTCCAAAACCAAACGAAAGGTGATAAAAGAATTTTTCCATTATTTTCAAATTTTATCGAATAAGACGACATTTATAAATTTTTCGTTTCACTTCATGTTTTCTAATGTTACAGGCTCAGAGTAGGAGCTGCAAAAGGTTCTGAAACCGGTTTTAACCTTGTAAAAGTTGAATGCAAACTTCTATCTTGCAGTGATCAAGTCACCAGAGTTAAAAGGTATTAAATGTTTAAGATTTTGCCAAGAACTAATCATGTAATAAATATCAGGTCACATGATATTCTATAAACTTCCAGTACATTGTACATTATTAATGTGCTGTTATACATAACATGATTGCCTTAATCATGTGATAAAGATAACGACGTAGGAATTGTAATTACTCTATAAACTTTAGCTTGTAACATATAAACCTTTAAACTGGTTCTAACTATAGCTAGTAAGAACCAGAACTCCGATTTGATTACAGTGTGGAGTAATTGTATCCGGAGTATTCGGGTAAAAATCCTACCTCTTTGGGTAGAGATCGACTAAAGGGCTTGTAGATAACCAGTATCTTGTGTCCTTGTATGACATTTAGAGTGGAAGTAATAGCTTGTTGATAGTTAAGCTTGTGTCCCTGTGTGGCATTTAGAGAGGAAGTAATAGCTTGTTGATAGTTAAGCTTGTGTCCCTGTGTGGCATTTAGAGCGGAAGTAATAGCTTGTTGATAACTAAGTTTGTGTCTCTGTGTGGCATTTGGAGTGGCAGTAATTGCTTGTTGATATCTACTCTTGTGTCCTTTTGTGGCATTTAGAGTCGAAGTAGTAGCTTGTTGATAGCTAAGTTTGTGTCTCTGTGTGGCATTTGGAGTGGCAGTAATTGCTTGTTGATAGCTACTCTTGTGTCCTTTTGTGGCATTTAGAGTGGAAGTAGTAGCTTGTTGATAATTAAGCGTGTGTCCCTGTGTGCCATTTAGAGTGGAAGTAATAGCTTGTTGATAGCTAAGCGTGTGTCCCTTTGTGGCATTTAGAGCGGAAGTAATAGCTTGTTGATAGCAGAGCGGAAGTAAAAGCTTGTTGATAGCTTAGCTTTTGTTCCTTTGTGGCATTTAGAGCGGAAGTAATAGCTTGTTGATAGCAATACTTGTGTCCCTGTGTGGAATTTAGGGCTAGGTGGGCTGCGTTCTTTTTGATTTGGATAGTGGACTGGTTGAACCTAGAATAATGTGGGACAAACTTTTAGAGTACGACTTTTACTACAATCATAGATTCAAAGGAACTACTAAAGATTCAACACATTTAAATGAAAAAACTTGAATTTAGAAGATTAAACCGTTATTTTTCATCTTAAAATCTTGCTAGTCTTTTAGAAATCTATCAACAGCTTTCTTAATAAGAACAGACTTCAATATAACTTAAATTCTAATTTTTAAAAATATTTTAGAATATTTAGGGCTCATGAAATGAATGAAACGTCCTTTTTTCTTCCATCCAAAGAGATCGCTGAGATGGTTGAGAGTGGAGAACTGGGCATGCGTAAGTTTTCTAGGGTTTAGTTTCAAATACATTTTACCGATCAAGTTAAACATTGAAATATCTTATTTTATGTTAAAAATGTCAGAAATGTCCTGGTAATAAAAAGCTCATCTGTTAAATGTCAACGTTTCAGCTGTGAGTTCTGAGCCAAAGATAGTTGGAGGAATTATCTCCTATATTGATGAGCTACCTGCCACTATAGCTATTTATAGGTAAGATGATAGTTGGAGGAATTATCTCCTATATTGATGAGCTACCTGCCACTATAGCTATCTACAGGTAAGATGATAGTCAGTGGAATTATCTCCTATATTGATGAGCAACATGACACTAGCTATCTATAGGTAAGATTATAGTTGTTGGAATTATCTCCTATATTGATGAGCTACCTGCCACTACAGCTATCTATAGGTAAGATGATAGTTGGAGGAATTATCTCCTATATTTATGAGCTACCTGCCACTATAGCTATCTATAGGTAAGATGATAGTCGGTGGAATTATCTCCTATATTGATGAGCTACCTGCTACTATAGCTATCTATAGATAAGATGATAGTTGGTGGAATTATCTCCTGTATTGATGAGCTACCTGCTACTATAGCTATCTATTGGTAAGATGATAGTTGGTGGAATTATCTCCTTTATTGATGAGCTACCTGCTACTATAGCTATCTATATGTAAGATGATAGTTGGTGGAATGATCTCCTATATTGATGAGCTATCTGCTACTTTAGCTATCTATAGGTAAGATGATAGTTGGTGGAATTATCTCCTGTATTGATGAGCTACCTGCTACTATAGCTACAGGGTGGCCAAAATGTACGGATTGTACGGATTGATTTTTTTTTAACCCTAAAATTGTACGGATTGTACGGATTGCACGGATTGTACGGATTTGTTTTCAAATTGTACGGATTGTACGGATTTTATCCATTATTTCTCTTGAAACTTGTTATTGATTTAAAACTTGTTTTTGATTTAAAACTTGTTATTGACTTCAGCCTTGTTTTGGAATTAAAACTTGTTATATTGACTTCAACCTTGTTTTGGAATTTAAACTTGTTATTGACTTCAACTTTGTTTTGGAATTAAAACTTGTTATTGACTTCAACCTTGTTTTGGAATTTAAACTTGTTATTGACTTCAACCTTGTTTTGGAATTAAAACTTGCTATTGACTTCAACCTTGTTTTGGAATCAAAACTTGTTATTGACTTCTACCTTGTTGGAATCAAAACTTGGTATTGACTTCAACCTTGTTTTGGAATCAAAACTTGTTATTGACTTCAACCTTGTTTTGGAATCAAAACTTGTTATTGTCTTCAACCTAGTTTTTGAATTGAAACTTGTTATTGGCTTCAACCTTGTTTTGGAATCAAAACTTGTTATTGACTTAAACCTTGTTTTGGAATCAAAACTTGTTATTGACTTCTACCTTTTTTTAATTAAAACTTGTTATTGACTTCAATCTTGTTTTTGAATTAAAACTTGATTTATTTTTTATTAAAACTTGTTTTTTACTTTAGTATATTTTTGACTGAACTTGATTTAGTAAAACTAAATGTGATTGAAGTATAATGGAAGGAATAAAAAAGTAAATTATTTGGCTGGAGTTATCTCTCATGGAAAGGGGTGTGGAAGGTGAGTAAGTTAGAGAAAAGAACCAGAGCTAGAAACTTTTGAATGGTGGATATCGGGATTAATGCTTAATCCACTCTTTTCCTTAATCTCCAGATTAAATATTGCTTGTTCTCCTCATGAATTTAATTTCCAGATTAATTAACAAATCGGGATTAAGGATATCACATTCTAAAGTTTTCAGCTCTGAATATATAAGCTATACTTTTCCAATTCCTTCATCTTGGAAAACTGAAGGTTTACACTATTTCAATATTAAAAGTCTACGACATTAGGATGCAAAAAATAGGGGTATATAAAATTTTGAAGGGGTACAGAAAATAGAAACTTTTGAAGGTGTGGCGAGTATTCATGTTAAGTCGGAACTCGTGCTAAGTTGGCGCTGATCTTCAATGCCTGAACTTAAAATTTAAAATGCGGATTTGTGCCTTCTCAAGATTTTTCCAATACATAATTTCAGACCTTTGATTTCATTTTTTGGTTGAAAGTTTGCCTTTTACTATAACCGAAGGCAAAATGGGGTTTTTAATATTATTAGTGAAGGTTTTNTTTGGCCACCCTATAGCTATCTATTGGTAAGATGATAGTTGGTGGAATTATCTCCTATATTGATGAGCTACCTGACACTGTAGCTATCTATACGTAAGATGATAGTTGGTGGAATTATCTTCTATATTGATGAGCTATCTGGCTCTATAGCTATCTAGTATAGGTAAGATGATAGTTGGTGGAAATATCTCCTATATTGATGAGCTACCTTCTACTGCAGCTGTCAAAAGGTAAGATAATAGTTGGTGGAATTATCTCCTGTATTAATGAGCTACCTGCCATTATAGCTATCTATAGGTAAGATGATAGTTGGTGGAATTATCTCCTATATTGATGAGCTACCTTCTACTGTAGCTATCTAAAGGTAAGATAATAGTTAGTGGAATTATCTCCTGTATTGATGAGCTACCTGCCATTATAGCTATCTATAGGTAAAATGATAGTTGGTGGAATTATCTCCTATATTGATATTCTTAGTTTTACCATAGCTGAAAACTTTAGAATTTGATATCCTTAATCCCGATTTGTTAATTAATCTGGAGATTAATAACAAAAGGAGAACAAGCACTATTTAATCTGGAGATCAAGAAAAAGAGGAGATCAAGCATTGATCTCGATATCCACCATTCTAAAGTTTTCAGCTCATGTTTTTTTAGAGATATGAAAAAAGGTAGTAAATATTAACACTATTAGATGTAGGAAAAAAAGGTAGTAAAAATTAAATTAATCGAAATTGTAGAATATCTTGTCTAAAGTCTAAAAAAATCTTTATTTTTACCATCTGCATTTTCCATTTTGGTTTGTAAATTATTCTTATCCAAGTGGACCTTCTGAAAATTTATGAAAGTATGCCCCCCCCCTCCGACTTATGTCAAATACATTCTGATTTCTGGAGGTAACATTGGAAAGTTCACGTTGAATGAAAAAATATATGTATATTTTTCAGGAACTCTGAATTCATTTGCGGAGGAGCGATCATCTCTCCAAATTACATTTTAACTGCTGGTTCGTCAAAATATGTTTTTAAATCTAAAATCTACAAGACTATGTCCATTGTCTATGTTCATGAAAATCCTTGTTATGTGTGACTAATGATCCATTGTCTATGTTCATGAAAATCCTTGTTATGTGTGACTAATGATACACATAAATATAGTAATAATTTTTTTAAAATGGTTTATTGATGGTTAAGTTGTGGTACTTTTAAAAATCAATATAAATTTAATTTGATATTTTTTGATTAGGCCACTGTTTGTTTAAGTTTGAGGATAAAATGCATTACAGGTAAGAGACTAGGATTTAAAGCTTTTAAAAATGGGAATTGCAAATTTTAAGAATTTAAAACATTCATTCTATTGAGTGATTTAAACTGTTGTAGGGAGGTGCACGGATGCACGACAACGGGTAAAAAATAAATTAATCCTATGCACTGATATTTTAGGATTCGCGCTGGAATGCAAAGGAAGCAGTCCCAATCCTCCTGGGAACAATGGAGAGATATTGTGTAAGTTGTTTTTGATATTTTAGAAAATTTAATTTTTTAGAATTGTTAAATTGATTTTGGAACATAATTTAAAAACAATATTTGTTTATTCACGTGTTCATTTGAGTGTAAAATTTACAAAAGCAAGAAACTTTTGAATGAAGTAAAGTAGCTTATTATCTGGAACTTTAAAGCGGTAACTTTTGAAGTCATCTGGATACAGATTCACACATTAGAAAACAATTAAAGATATGATCGGAAATTAACCCCACACTGTGAATAAGTGATTTTGATTCAAAAGTTCCCAGCTATCGTCCAATATCTTATTATTTAGTCAAATCTTTATTTTTGTGATATAAGAATTTATTAACAACACTCAGAAGTAGGTATACCCTTACAAGCTGGGTGCCGAGAGCATGATACAACCCCCTCCCCTCTTTCGTAAATGTATCTATTTACACTTTTGCAAAATCACTAATGAAGTTATATTTAGGGAAGTAGTGGTTCATCCAATGTATGACAACATATTTCTCCGGCATGATATCTCTATTGGCAAACTAAACCATCCTCTTCACTTCAAAAAATATNTTCAGGAAGAACTTGAACTATTAATTATCTAAAGCTGTATTAGTTCAGGAACAACTTGAACTATTAATTATCTAAAGCTGTATTAGTTCAGGAACAACTTGAACTATTACTTATCTAAAGCTGTATTAGTTCAGGAACAACTTGAACTATTACTTATCTAAAGCTGCATTAGTTCAGGAACAACTTGAACTACTCTTAATCTAAAGCTGTATTAGTTCAGGAACAACTTGAACTACTACTTATCTAAAGCTGTATTAGTTCAGGAACAACTTGATTTCAATACTCAATCTAAAGCTGTGTTGCTTCAGGAACAACTTGAATTCATTACTCATTGTGTTGCTTCAGGAACAACTTGAATACATTACTTATTCTTAAGCTGTGATGGTTCCGGAACATGTTGTGTTCATGACTTATACTAAAGCTGTGTTGGTTCAGGAATATGTTGAGTTCATTACTTATTCTAAAGCTGTTACAGTTGAGGAAGATGTTGAGCTCATTACTTATTCTAAAGCTGTTACAGTTGAGGAAGATGTTGAGCTCATTACTTATTCTAAAGCTATGCTGGTTCAGGAACAACTCTAGTTCATTTCTTATTCTAAAGCTGTGTTGGTTCAGGAACATGTTGAGCCCATTACTTTCTCTAAAGTTGTGCCGGTTGAGGAACAACTTGAGTTCATTACTTATTCTAAAGCTGTGAAGGAAATGTCTTACTCCAATAGTTTCTTTTAAGTCGTATTCTTTAGAATGAATCATCAGATACAACTTTAACTAGATGTTCTCTACACGAGAAATAATACTTGTTCAAACGTAATAAAGCAAAGATCCATATCCAACTATATTTAAATTAATTATGGGTTTTACAGTACATGTTAATGATATGGAGCAATAAGTGTTCTCAGAATTAACGAACGTAGTTAGGGTACAGATATGTTATAACGTATAATATATATAGTTATGTTCAGGTTTACAAATATGGGGTTTACGACTATATTTATTACAGCTGTGTTGGTTCAGGAACAACGTGTACCGCAGCTGGTTGGGGTCTTATCAGTGAGAGAGGAGTAGCATCAGAGGAGTTAAAAGAGGTGAAGACGATCTAGACTTTAAGACCTGAGGTCAAAACAATTGTGTGGAATAGTACTTATTCACAATGCTTGATCTTGATATTAAAAAAAATATCATCCATTGGTTTCGGATTTATCCCTGATTCCAAGTATTCCCGTGACTGATTAACTTTCAAATAATTTTCTTTTTAAAATTTAATTCTCTCCCTTTATTACAATTTTTTCACAACATTAACATAACCCTTCTCCTTGGTTTAGCTGTGTAAACCTCTCATTAGTTTACTCTTTTGTAAAGGTTCGTCTCCCAGTCCTAAGTAGCTGTTCTCGAACCTACAACAACATTAGTTACCAGATCTGTGCTGGAGCCTTACAGGGGAAAGACAGCTGTCAGGGAAGGATTACACCGTTGTTTCAAGTGACTCTCTTTATTAAATATTACATGACCGATTTATAACAGTACCCTTTAAACCTTTGTCTAGAGCAGAAATGGTTTAAAATCTCTATCTTTCATGCATGTCATAGATATTAACTTGCGGTTTTGATTTCTCAATTAAGGTAAATTGTGGATTTATACAGGAGTGAAAAGTCTGATGTTAAAAGAATTTATATCTTCAAGTTATGAAACAGACAATATCATCATTATTGTTACAACTTGTTATTAGGTTTAGAGGTTACAGTTCAATTTATGGTCACATGAAATAATGAATGACAGTTCCTTTAATCAAGTTTTTATTTAACGATGATTTGTTTCTTTTCCCTTTCTTCAACAATTAATGTTTTCAAAATGAGGTTTTAACTAATAAGCTATCTAAGCTGCTGATTATTTGATATTTTCCTTTTAGAATATCAAATTTTAGAATTAGAAATATATTTGGTTTTAAACGTTTTATTTTACTCTTTGTTTTTATCCATTTTTTCAAAATAAAGGATTGATGGGAGAAACCCTTAAAAAAAAAACTTTATCCATAAAATTGAGTGAAGCATTAGTTCTAAATTGTAGAGAATTATTTCAGTCCCAAGTTGTTCAAGCGGTTTTCACATCATAATAATTGTAAAATCATAAGTTTTCGAGCGTGTAATCCTTATCCCAGGGAGATTCTGGTGGACCGTTTTACTGTGAATCTCCTAGGAATACTTGCTACATTTTCTACATTTGTAAATTCATTTAAAGGGAGTGACCGGCTATGTAAGGTAGTTGAACTGAGTATGCAGTGTTGTGGAAATTTTCTTTCGGATTCATTTGAGACATATTAAACGTTTTAGAGATCTGTAAATCCTGAGTTTGAGCGCAAATTCGATGTTCAAAAATTCTACTTTGGGGGTGGATACGTTTTAAGAATTACTTTTTTTAGATTATTAAATAATGTCGACATAAAATATAAAAAAGTTCTACAATAAACTACAGACGTCATGTATAGGAACATGTTGAGAAAATAAAAATTTATCTTATCATCGAAAATAAGTAATCTTGTTCAATTATTAGTTTCTATATTGATTTAAAACTTGTTATTGACTTCAGCCTTGTTTTGGAATTAAAACTTGTTATTGACTTCAACTTTGTTTTTGGAATTTTAACTTGTTACTGACTTAAACCTTTTTTGGAATTAAAACTTGTTATTGACTTAAACCTTGTTTTGGAATCAAAACTTGTTATTGACTTCTACCTTTTTTTTAATTAAAACTTGTTATTGACTTCTACCTTGTTGGAATCAAAACTTGGTATTGACTTCAACCTTGTTTTGGAATTAAAACTTGATTTATTTTTAATTAAAACTTGTTTTTTACTTAAGTATATTTTTGACTGAACTTGTTTTTGACTTAAACTTGATTAAGTAAAACTAAATGTGATTGAAGTATAATGGAAGGAATAAAAAAGTGAATTATTTGGCTGGAGTTATCTCTCATGGAAAGGGGTGTGGAAGGTTAGTAAGTTAGTGCAAAGAACCTGAATATATAAGCTATACTTTTCCAATCCCTTCATCTTGGAAAACTGAAGGCTTACACTATTTCAATATTAAAGGTCTACGACAATAGGATGCAAAAAATAGGGGTATAGAAAATTTTGAAGGGGTACAGAAAATAGAAACTTTTGAAGGTGTGGCGAGTATTCATGTTAAGTCGGAACTCGTGCTAAGTTGGCGCTGATCTTCAATGCCTGAACTTAAAATTAAAATGCGGATTTGTGCCTTCTCAAGATTTTTCCAATACATAATTTCAGACCTTTGATTTCATTTTTTGGTTGAAAGTTTGCCTTTTACCTTAACCAAAGGCAAAATGGGGTTTTTAATATTATTAGTGAAGGTTTTAAAGTAAATTTATGTTTGTCTCTCTGTATTCTATGACTGGATTAAAGCTTGAAATATCTAGGCCTGGAGAACCAGGAGTTTATGTGCGTCTCTCTGTATACTATGACTGGATTACCCAAGTAATGAATGGAAGAACTGCTGTAGACCGTCAACTGAAACCTCTACAGGTTTATTTTATTTTTTTACTCCTTTATAATGTCCAAATTAAAAATCTAATTCCTTAGTTCAATGCTTATAGAAACTTTTTTCTGAATGCAAGGTCCTTAACTTATAGTAATTAAAAAAATAAATTCCTTAATCAAAAAATATTTATGGTTTGTAACCATTTTCTTTAAAATCCATTTGAAACTTTTATGTCAACAAAATCTTTTTTTAATAACTAACTATTTTTATGATTTTATTCACTTTTTGGAGGGATTTTTCTAAGGGTTTATTTTTTATTGTTTTTTTGTACTTGCTTGAATCACGAACCCATATCACCCGTACCTTAAACAACGGAATTGGCACTATTAGTAAAACGTCCAGTGATTGTTATACATGGTTACCACCAGAGAGGAGTGTACGACATTTATTTAATCCTTTTCTTGAATAAACTGTTTCATGATAATGTGAACTTGAACTTGTCATATCCAGTCTAAATAATACTCAATGCCAAGGATTAAATGCAGATCATCTTCCATGTAGCATAGTTTTTTTTGTAGATTACTTTTGATTCTCTTACTACGAAAATTTGTTAAGAGCATAATCTAGCTAGCTCATATTTTCCAGATAAATCCTCAGCTTTAACTGTTTTGAAATAAGAAAAAGGTTGGAAAAAATATGAGCTGTAAAATGAATTTAACATCAAACGCTGAAGAAATATTCCAAACACAGCTGAAAAACTTGTGAAGTAAAGTGTTCAAAAGTTTAATATTTCGATTGTATGTGGCCTATTTTGTCCTGAGGAAGCAAAAACAGAACTAAATTGTAATAACACAGATGTACACATTTTGTACGGTATTATGTATACTGCACAAGTTGTTTCCTGCCACGTGTACTGTTTCCTCTCAGGACTTTCTCAAATCTTCATAAACATTTCCCAACAAAATTTAAACGTAAAGAATGCAGGGGTCAATATAATTCCCTTTTCAATCCCATTTGGGATTGACAAATTTGAAAGAAATGGGGGCAAATTCTTTAATTGGGGGCAAATTTTTTTTATATGATAATTTAAAAAAAAATTGGGGGCATTTTTTTTTCAAATTGGGGGCAATGGGGCTAATGTGCTAGTGGAATTTGAAAAAAAAATTTTAACTGGGGGCATTTTTTTAAAAAATTGGGGGCATTTTTTTTCAAAATTGGGGGCAAAAAATTATTTTGGGATCGAGAAAATCAGCTTTTTTGGGAATTATATTGACCCCTGAAAGAATGATGTGAATGAATTTATTGTTTAGGATTGCCCTGGACTAAGAAATTAACTAATTGTTCAGGATCGCCTTGGACTACGAAATGAACTAATTGTTCAGATTGCCCTGAACTACGAAATGAACTAATTGTTCAGATTGCCCTGAACTACGAAATGAACTAATTACGAAATGAACTGATTGTTCAGGATTGCCCTGGACTACGAAATTAACTAATTACGAAATAAACTAATTGTTCAGGATTGCCCTGGACTACGAAATGAACTAATTACGAAATGAACTGATTGTTCAGGATTGCCCTGGACTACCAAATTAACTAATTACGAAATGAACTAATTGTTCAGGATTGCCCTGGACTACGAAATGAACTAATTACGAAATGAACTGATTGTTTAAGATTGCCATGGACTACGAAATGAACTAATTACGAAATGAACTAATTGTTCAGGATTGCCCTGGACTAAGATGTGGAGGATCAGGTGAATGTGTGATGGCTGATTATGTTTGTGATCTTGATGTAGACTGCTTGGATAATGGAGATGTTAAATACTGCACGATGGTTAATGGTAAAATGTAAGTTAAATAATCCTTAGAATTTGTCAAAAGGGGTCAAATATGAAGTGTACTCGTCTTGGAATTTTTTATTTAGCAATCATTAGATTTGATTGAAACTCATTTTATAAGAAGCTAATAAGATATTTTCAACTTTCAACATTTCTTATACACAGTGCGTGTAAGCTTTCAACCTTTGTATAAAACATCTTGCCAATTTCTATTTTAATTAGCAATCATTAGATTTGATTGAAACTCATTTTATAAGAAGCTAATAAGATGTTTTCAACTTCAACATTTCTTGTACACAGTGCGTGTAAGCTTTCAACCTTTGTATCAAACATCTTGCCAATTTCTATTTAAAAACTAAATCTAAAAACCAGTGCTCTACAGTCCTAAAATGTACGTTGTACATGTCTGGGGTTAAATATGTTTTTATGGTTTGGAGAGGTAAAATAAAATGCTGAGGCGCGACCCAGTCTTGAAAATGGCGCAACTTATCTGAGCAGTCTGAATCTATGCGATTCCCAGGCTTTAGACAATTTTAATTTTGTCATTTTATACTTTCGTTAATTTCCTTAAAATTATAAATATTAAACACTTTTTTGTTTCTTCAAAGGGTTCAAGTATTTCCTCCCGGAGTTGATAGGATGACATTTTCTGAGGAAGAAGTTTACAATAAGGTGACATTTTTTTGTTTCGTGTTATCTCATCTGCAGTTGATCTTTCTTTATTTATATTCCTGCTGAAAGGATCCGTAACCGATCAATTTTAATATAGAAAAAGATGAATATTTTTATTTATTTTCCCCAGAGAAAAGTGTAAAGGGTACTTTGTGAATCCAACACGATGTAAGTTAAAGGGATTTTAGACGAAGTTTCAAGTGATCCCTCATTATATAGAGTGCCATTTCATATTAACAATGATACCTTTATATATTTTTTGTACGATAAAGAATGGAATATTTACGTTTTTACTTAAGGTTTAAGGTTTTATAAAATATGGGTTTCTCTAAATTGGTGATTTTTGGATTTGGCGAAAGAAGAGGTAATGGGAGAAATAATGAGAATTCAACACAAAATATGTAATCTTCCACAATTAAACAGATAAAGGTCAAAATAAAGAGTACAATTGTGAATCGTAAATGCCCCTATTTAGATGTAAGGGATCACTTGAAGCTTTGGCTTCAGTAACTTTAATCTAATATTTGTTAAGGCTGTCACTTATTCTCCTGCTATTCCACCCCCCTCAACATCTTCTCCAGCTATATCTCCAGCTTCTAATACTACCACTTCAAGACCTGTAGAGCAAACATCTAAGCGTCCAGTGGCTTCGAGTACCTTCGTGCCTAGGAAACTTATACTCAAGCTGTGAAATAGACTTTGTTGTGTTTTAAATAATTGAACCATCCCTAAATGTATTGACATGCCTTCAGTTGGTTCGTTTTTGAGTAGTTTAGTGACTTGCCTTCAGTTGGTTCGTTTTTGAGTAGTTTAGTGACCTGCCTTCAGTTGGTTCGTTTTTGAGTAGTTTAGTGACCTGCCTTCAGTTGGTTCGTTTTTGAGTAGTTTAGTGACCTGCCTTTAGTTGGTTCGTTTTTGAGTAGTTTAGTGACCTGCCTTTAGTTGGTTCGTTTTTGGGTAGTTCAGTGACCTGGTTGTAGTTGGTTCGTTTTAAGTAGTTTTTTTTATATTTTCATTGAAGGGCAAATGTTTTCTAAATTGTATGTTCTGAACACTGGTCATTTTTTGCTTTGACAGGAGACGAGTATAAAACGACCCGAAAAAGAACGTGCATGTTAAACAAAATCAAGTTTTTTTGAATCTTTAACAACGAAAAAATTTAGATTAAAGATGTTGCAAAGTTCAATTAATGCAAACTTTAACATAATATCTTTCTTGTTTTTAAACTATCAGAAACGAACAAGAACACTACCAAAATATATAAAATGTTTCAACTTTATAGCCTTGAAAATGTGATGAGTTCTGAATAGGTCTGATCCTGGGTTTAACATGAGTGTTGTTGTCTGCACCTCAGCTCAATTCAGATGTTTAACTGTAGATCAGTGTATACCAGTACAAAGCAGATGTAATGGACATATGGATTGTCCAGACAAGTAGGCTCTTATTCATTACCACTAACAGTGCTTTAGATCCGGTGTGAGGTTAAAAACCGCCCGGGTATAATTTGGCACTTCTTACGAATAATATTGACCCCTTCCCCACAACAGTAAATCAACAAAGCATTGATAATCACTTGCCGGACTTGAACTAAGTTATTAAATAAGTTTTTGAAAGTAAAATTTACTAGAAAGATGCTAATATAAATATTCTGTCTTGAATGCAGTCTTCCTTAAAAAGATTATAACACGTAGATATTTTAATCCTTGTACATCTACAAATTGTGTTAAAATTATCGTAATGTTGTAATATGTGTAAGAATCTTATCAAAATATTTTTAAATGTTATGCTCTAGACCGATATAGTAGCCCGGGCGTTTTTAACGTGACACCAAATCCATTTTTTAAGAACATTTTCGCCCTGTATTTCCGGATTCTGAAGGATCCGGATCGAAGTTGGTCTAACTTAACTAAAATAGAAATAAAAACGTGTTCTTAAAAATTGCCTATTCTATTCTAGGTCTGATGAGTATAACTGCAAATGCGCTGATCTGATGTTACAGAAATTTCCAGGTATTCTATTTTGCCTCCAGTTCTTCCTGTTTGTGATTTTTATTAAATACATTGCTTAGAATAAAAACTTAAGAAAGGGTATCGTCATGAAATTTAGTATCGGAAACCCGGATATCCAGACTGTGATGATGGTTCTGATGAGGCTGTTAGGATTTGCGCCATCAACCAGTTTAGGTATCCTCTTTTCAACAATTTATTTTATAGATAGAAAATAATTTTAACACTATCCCCTTTGTACCCCCCTCCCCCTCCCCGAAGCAAAGCAATTCATGAGTGAAAGAGGATTTCTAACATTAGATAACTTCTTAGAAATGTCTTATTTCTAATCTATAGTCAAAGGTCACTTGAAATTACGTTTACAGTAATTGTAAAGAAAAGTTCCCCTGTTAATTGGCACTTGAGATAATTAGACGAAATTCCAGTCAGGAATTTATAACACATTATAAAGCACATTGTGAAAGTCAGTCCTCTTAAGGTGCCCGATGAGTACAACCTGTGTTAATGAGAGAATGAAGTGTGATGGTATCAAACATTGTCCTAATGGAGAAGATGAGCTTAACTGTGTTGTGCTGGGTAAGTTTCATCCTGTGCGTTGTTAAATGATTTTATTGGAATGGTAAAGGAATGAGGAATAAATACCAGAGCTGAATATCACGATCAATGCTTGATCTCCTCTTTTTGTTAATCTCAAGGTTAATATAATCTTCAGTTTAAATTCATGCAAAAGTTTATACGACGAATCGACTGGCGTTTGAGGAAACCGGAACAGCCAATCAGAGAAGCCAGGAAGTTTGAAATGTTTGGCGCAATTTAATGAGTGGACTCTGATTTGTTAAACAAAGTACGGATATAAAAGAATACGGAACAAGGATATAACAGGATATGAAAGAAATGAGAATTAGACAAAGTACAGATATCCAAAAAAGAGAAAAAGACCTGATAAGGATATAAAATAATAGGGAAAAGGGAAACCCTTAGCTTCTTAAATTGAATTTGAACAGGATTTAAAGGAAACTGGAGTAGGGACGACAGGATATAAAAGAAAATAGAAGTAAGGATAAAGCAAGATGTAAAAGGTATAAGGAATATGGATATAACAGGATAAGAAATATGGATATAAAAGGGATAAGGAATAGGGATACAACAGGATATAAATGGTATAAGTAACAGGGACATTACAGGATATAAAAGAATAAGGAATTTTGGGTATAACAGGATATAAAAGAATAAGGACTAGGGATACAACAGGATATAAAATAATAAGGAATAGGGATATAACAGGATATAAAAGAATAAGAAATAGGGATATACAGGATATAAAAGAATAAGGAATAAGGATATAACAGGATTTAAAATAATAAGGAATACGGATTTAACAGGATATAAAAGAATAAGGATTAGGGATATAACAGGATATAAAAGAATAAGAAATAGGGATATAACAGTATATAAAATAATAAGAAATAGGGATATAAGAGGATATAAAAGAATAAGGATTAGGTATTTAACAGGATATAAAAGAATAAGGAATAGGGATATAGCAGAATATAAAATAATAAGAAATAGGGATATAACAGACGGGATATAAAATAATAAAGAATAGGAATATAACAGACGGGATATAAAAGAATAAAGAATAGGAATATAACAGGATATAAAAGAATAAGGAATAGGGATATAACAGGATATAAAAGAATAAGGAATAGGGATATAACAGGATATAAAAGAATAAGGAATAGGGATATATCGGGGTATAACAGATTTAGGAATAGGGATATAACAGGATATAACACGAACAAGGATATAACGGGATATAAAAGAAATGAGAATTAGACAGAATATTACGTTATGTCTGGTTTACAAGTCTAAAGCATTTTTTAAATTTGAAGTTTTTAAATATTTGATAATTTTAGTAAATAAGAACTATGTTCCTGTGATGAACTATGGGGATATTGTGAAGCAGAACAACGGGTATTTAGTTATACAGGTAAAACATCTTTAAAAACGGAATTGAAGGGTTTTTACGAACAAATTAAATAAAAAAGGACATTGGAAGACTATATTGGTAAAGCCCAAAGAAAGGAAACATTTGTATACAACTGAATAGTGGGGTTCATTAAACACTGGATTTGTTGCTTCTACTGTATTCCCTGGGTTCCTAGCTTTTGTTTGATATGCATAAAGCAATAGTTGAATTATTTTCTAAATGTCGCTAAATGTCGCTAAATGTCGCTAAATGTCGCTAAATGTCGCTAGATGTCGCTAGATGTCGCTACACTGGATTCGTTGCTGCTACTGTATTCCTGGGGTTCCCAGCTTTTAATTGATATGAATAAATAGTTGAAATATTTTCTATTTGTGGAGATCACTAGAGGTCATTAAAATTCAATTTGATTTTATTTTAGGAATTTCGATTACCAATTATGCGTGCAGCCAAAAAACATGCCATCACCTCCATCCCCTTTAAAAAAATTTAGGTTTTTGAAATTATTTGTGAAATAAAATAGAATCCTTCTTTTTCCGGATAGAGTGATATTAATTAAATTTGTTTGTTCTTCTCTTTAGAACCGTGGAGAATGGCGGCCAGTTTGTGTTCCAAAATTTGATGTCGATCTTGCAAACACCATTTGTAGGAAAACAAACAATGGGAAAAAATTAAGAAAATATTTCATTTTTATTGTACGATTGCTGAAATTAATTGATTAAATTCACCAATTTTAAAAGACTTTTCTTGCTAAATTGCATTCCCGATTTACAACGGTACCCTTGAAACCTTCTTACTCTGATCTTAAATATGTAAGATACAATTGTTTTTTCTGACTTGATGCTCTCCATTGCTTCTAATAAGCAAGAAATGCTCATTTGACCCGGGTATTGTCATCTTTGCATGGATGGTCACTTGAAATTACGCTTACAGTCCCTTTTAAAGAAACTAAACACACTCTAGAAAAATTCCATTATGAGGCGAATAATAAGTTTCTTGAAAGATTTTACCAATTTTGTTATTGATATCAGCTATATGGGTTACTCCGGTGAATCAAATTTTACTCTTGGCCGGGATCAGGGTATGCCTGAAGGGTTTTCAAAGGTAAGATTTTAGGTTCATAAACTTAAAATTAATAAATGTCATAGTTTTAAGTAGCACAGCATGCAATAATATTATATTTTTTAACCAGGAGGATGCAATAATAGTATATTTTTTAACCAGGAAGATGCAATAATAATAAATTGTTTAACCAGGAGGATGCAATAATAATATATTTTTTTACCAGGAGTAAGAGATAATAATTTATTTTTTAAGCAGAAGGATTCAATAATACTATATTTTTGTTAACCAGGAGGATGCAATAATAATAAGCTTTATACTTTGGAGAATGCGATAATAATATATTAATGAATCAGGAGGATGCAATATAATACTTTTTAAACTAGGAGGATGCAATAATAATGCGTTTTAAAACAGGAGGATACGAAAAAAAATAAGACTTGAGGATGCAATAATAATACTTTTTAAACCAGAAGGATGAAATAAAATTCATTTCGAACCAGGAGGATGCAATAGTAACGTATTTTTACCAGGAGGATACAGTAATAATATTTTTTTCAAATTTGTAGGATGCATTGATAATATATTTTAAACCAGGAGGATGCAATAATAATATCTTCATGTACCAGGAGGATGCAATAATAATATATTCAATATTCATGTACCAGGAGGATGCAATCAGCAACCAATGCTTCTTTGTCCAAGTTAAATGTGGATCTATCAGATGCGGGAGCAGGCCAATGTTCAGGAATACATTCTTTGTAATTTAATTTTAGAAAAACATTTGAGTTTGCTAATTTCTGCAACTTTAGCTTTTAACAGATTTTACATTAATTCACGAGGGGTTTGAAAACCTAAAGGGAGAGACCTGCTAGGTAATGTAGTTGAACTGAGAGAATAAAATGTAGGATTCATTTGATACCAACAACACGTTTTCACAGTCTATAATTACTAAAGAAGAGCGTTAACTCCGTTTGCTATTTCCTACTTAAAGGCAAATTCTACACTTTGTGGTTTTATCTTATATGCGCATGAAAACTAATCTTTTTTAGTTTATTTTTGTTTTACAGGGTTACCCATAAAGGATGGGATTTCAGAGACGACTAAACATAATTTAGTTGATTTTTAAAAATTAATTTTCTCTAGTCTCATTCTTTGTGGGTAACGCTGTATGTTGTTAAATGTAATTTTTTTGATTTGTTTTACATCGAAAAGTAATTTTAGGGATTCTGAAGCCAGTCAGGTTGGAAATTTTATTGATTTTCATTTTAAATTAGCTTTTCCCTCTCACTTGGAATTTTTGCATTTTTGTTTATTTAAAAAAATTTAATTTTTGTGGTAGTAAATTTCCTTAAAGGGGGGGGGGGGGGGTGTATTTTGTAGGGAAAAGTATCAAACTGATAAGTGTGGAAGTTAATTCTTATTTTTTATCTCAAGCATTCTAAATTGTCCTTAAATGAATTGACCTTTTTTTCTTGTAGGATATGACCCTCCCGGGTGCCTTGCCCTGGTTTGTTGCTATTTTTGTTGAAGGAGAACATATCTGTGACGGTTCTATCATTCATGAGTCATTTGTTGTTACATCTGTTCAATGTGCTCTCAAGATCTACCAAGCAGAGACTAGGTTACAAATATATTTCCTCGTGTTTATTAGAACACTGTGTATCAAAGCTGTAGGAATTTTATACAGGGTGAGTCAATTAATTTTAAAATTATGCGACTACTCTAAAATCGTCTTTGATCTACATTTTATTGTTTGTGTGTTAAAAATTTGCAGATGATATGCGATAGATTTGATTTTATTCCTAGTGGTATTTCAATATTTTTAAAATTATGGCCAATTTCTTATTCATTTAACCATAGGTTCAACTATAGGTCGTATCTATCTATCTACACTGCTCTGGTAAAGCGTAGCCATAGTGTGACTATGGTTCTACCTTAAGCTAGCAAAATAAAAGTTTCTTTTGTGCATGCTGCACCATTTTTACCGTTACTTTCTTTTTATTTGGCCAGGAAGGAAAGGCGAAACAAAAATAAAAGCGATTTTTTCAGATAGATTTACATTCCGTATCATCTAAGTAGGGCGTCGGTCTCCCAGCCCAGGGTGATGAATTAGTTTGGAAACCTTCTGCCAGTGTGATAGAGTATACGAGGAGACAAGCTTGGCCTTTAAATCCTCGTAAGGGGTTTCTGAGGAGGCAGCAGAACCCATGATCAGGCCGCGTACCGAGACCATAATCTTCTGGGGAAGTTTCTGTACGATGTGGTTGAATTTGGTTATTGACTGTGTGATTTGGGCGTTTCTGAAGGCCGCCTCTGCATGAAGGAACCACAGGTCGGGGTCCTCTGTCCAGAAATCTGGGAGCTTGACGGAGACTTTGGCGACAAACTCGGTTGGAGTTTCTTTTCGGTCGGTCATGATGCTTGGATGTATCACTTAATGTTCAAAGTTCAAGAAAATCACGAAACTGGATAGCGTTTAACTGTATGTTCAAAGTCGGGGGTCACCAATATAGAGGACGTGAGTCAGACTAATGAAAACACAAATAACTTCCAGTGTATATATTTCTTATAACTTATTACTAGAGGGTTCAGAATAAATGTTTATATCGAGATCATACATGTAGATGTTTTTCAGTACTATGCCCCGTATCCGTTCTATCTCATTCTGTTGAATCTTGTGGAACTTGTTTAACGTGGCCAGGCATTGTCTTCCACAATATTTTCATTTTCATTCAAAATAATCGAACTTTATTTTTAAACCCTTAAAACCTTCTTTCTGAAGCATTTGATTTGGTTCAGGCCTTTCTAATGAATAAAATTGTTTAGAACTGGGAATTATATAACTGCTGTAGCTGGACAGAGAAGGTTTACAGATCTTGGATCCTCTCCCCATTCTCAGATCAGAAGAATCGTCAAGTTTAAGCATATCCCTGGAACAGAGATCGCTGTTGGTAATCTTTAATTCTTTCAAGGATTTAATGCAAGGAAAGTTATTTCAGAGGTGTACGCATCTTTTGTCCTGCAGTGTACTGTCTCTGGGCGGTAATGTAAACACAAGACGTATGTCGAAGCCTGACATGGAATCCATCTTTCACACAAATATTTAATGAAATATTCTGGTCATAGGAAACTATTATGTGAATTATCAAAATTATCAAAATTCAATGCTTTTAACCTCCTCGGATACTAAACGAACACTGAGGCATCTATTCTTGTTTACAAATTCCGCTCAGAGAGAACTTGTTTCAATATGTACTCAGAGTATACACAACTGCAATTAACTTTCCTTGCATTACATTCTTGATTTCTTTGTTAAAGAAGACGCAAGATTTTTCTCGAACCTAGTAAAAAGAAACTCTGTGAGAAAACTTGCTGAATAATTAATTTCGAATTTTATGAACTTCTCCGATTTTTGGGGGTGTAACAATAACTCAATTTTGTGGACTTTTTAGTAAAAAATATTGTTAACTGCTGAAAGAATACTTTACATTACAGTCTCTGTACAGTGTACAACTGTACAAGCTGGCAAACAAGCGGACAAAATATTTCTCAAGACAACGAAAAAATGTATAATTTTCTAACCGAAATAACTAAGTTAGGGATAAAAAGCGAAGATAAAATGATATTAAAGGCAGAGTAACTAAAATCTAGTTCCACAGAAGTGCTTCTTCTTTTAGGTCCGAACTTATTATTATCAGAGACACTAACCCATACCTTTAAAAAAATGTTATATTTCAGAATTTTTAACTTATCTGTCCTAAACCAATGAGATAGTCCTTAACCTACACTAAAAAGCTTCAATTATTAAATTACCATTATGATAAGAAGCTTTGACATTTTAGCTCAGGTTTAAGCCTTTGCACCAAACAAGTCTTGAAACAAAAATTACTCGGACCTCCATAGGGATATCTAGGAATCAAGTTCTCTTAACACTCTGACCTCCTTGATTTATTAGGATATTTAAGAACCAAGTTTACTCTGACCTCCTTGCTTTATTAGGATATCTGGGAACAAAGTTTACTCTGACCTCCTTGATTTATTAGGTCTGGGAACCAAGTTTACTCTGACATTCTTGATTTATTAGCATATCTGGGAACCAAGTTTACTCTGACCTCCTTGATTTATTAGGTCTGGGAACCAAGTTTACTCTGACATTCTTGATTTATTAGGATATCTGGGAACCAAGTTTACTCTGACCTTCTTGATTTATTAGGATATCTGTGAACCAAGTTTACTCTAATTTCCTTGTTCATTAGGATATCTGGGAACCAAGTTTATTTTGACCTCCTATGTTGGGAAGCTGTGTATACCATCTACTACCTGGATCCCTCAAGGGGTCAACTGTATACAAGCAGGTCAGCATCTACAAGATTATGTTTCTTTATTAAATTTACTTTGTTACTCAGCTAAAGCCTACTAAGATACTCGAAATAAGTATTTCTAGATATCGTTATTCTTTTAATTGATATTATTATTATTTTTAACTTTAAAAAAATTAATTTATTTTAATTAAGGGTTGAGGGCAAAAGCTCACGCATACAAAACAAAACGAAATTTAAACCGGGTTTTGGCGGATTTAAACCGCGGCTCAAATTCTTTAAATTCCATCTCAGGACAATTTTTCTCCAGGTTGCTTCTCTTAATGCTACTGGTTGGGCTGGTGCGCTAGGGTGTCCGGATAATGAAGGTTTATATATTGTTCTTATTAATTCAGAATAAAGTTTCAGAAAACTGCTAAAATTGTAATTTTATCAAAAATTCGCTCTCAATGTTAATGTTAAAAATTAATTGGGATATCCACCCCCATCCCCCTGAACACTCCTGTTGTTTATTTTACCTATTATTGAAACTTAAACCATGGTAATTTAATAATCAGAATATGGCTTCTTACAGCCAAGCATGGCAAGAAAAATTCTCAACTATTGAAGAAGATTCAAGAAAGAAATTTTACATAAGCTTTTTTCTGAATTGAAGATGGAACTTATCCTTTATTGGTAGGATTCTTCTATGCCGTTGGATTGTTTGACTCTGCATCTTCTAGTCCACCAACAAGATTTAAAACTGTCATCTCACAGGCGGTCAGAACAGGTATATTCGGGAAAATTTTCAGAACAGGTACAGGTTTTTTTCTGAACGGCTTTCTGATAAAGGTTTATTCTGAACAATGACTTTCTAGGTATAGGTTTATTCTGAACAACAACTTTCTTGGTATAGGTTTATTATGAACAACATTTTTCCTGTTACAGGTTTATTCTGAACAACGTTATTCCTGTTACAGGGTTATTCTGGACAAAGACTTTCTTGGTATAGGTTTTTGTCTGAACAACGTTATTCCTCATAAAGGTTTATTCTGAAAAACGATATTCCTGTCATGTGTTCTGAACCCTTTTAAGTACAGGTTTATTCGTTTAATTTCTTAACAAGATTCTTCTGAGTATCCTGGTACATATTTATCCTTACTGGTGTAGGTTTATTTTCGTTAAAATGTTATTACTGGATCTCAAATAGATTATCAAGAACAATTGGCGGCAGCAGAGAAATGGATCAATTATACACGACGTCACAAGTGTCAAATATAACAAGGAAAACGAAATTTTCTCACATTAGTTGACAGGTTTTCTCAAATGAAATAAAAAAGTGTAAAAACAGAAAATAAAGAACACATACAATTCTTATTCTACTGTAATATAAGCACTTTATACAAAATTATCACTATTATTAAGAACACACAAACTGAATAGACACTTGTGACGTCAGAATACAACTGTACTGCGAGTGTACAAATTCTACGTTGCCATCTATTGTACTAGAAACTATTTGCTGGATCTGATTTATTGTCTAAAAACGTTTTTACCGGTTTTGGTTTATTCTTAAAAAATGTAATTTCCGGTCCAGGCGTTTTTAACAATGTCCTTCGCAGTACAGGTTTATATTAAACAATCTTTGCTGGATAAGTTTTTTCTACTTATGTCCTTACTTAATTGTACAGTTTTATTCTCGAAAAATGATTCCTGGTTCAGGTTTATTCTTAAATGGCATTCTTGGTACAGTATGGTTGAAGTGGCCTCAACCAGTCAAGAAAAAGTTTCAGTGGTTTTTTGATTTTAAATTTGTTGTCTCCTGACCTCCAGATTTGTTTCAGCTCTTCAAAGTTTACTTGAGTCTAACACTTTTGAGAATGCCGAGGAACAACTTGGTGACACCTGTAATGGTTTCAGGTAGAAGGATTATCTAAATCTTCATTACTGTTAAATCAAAATATGTTATTGGACACTTTTAATGAGTTGTAATTTATTGTTATTATTATTAACAAAAATATTCAAAAATTTATTTACCAGCGCAATCGATTTTTAAAGTGCCTCAATTTTGACAAAATCCTTAGTGAGATTTTGCATTATTATTTGCTCCCAATATAAAAAAACTAAATGTGATGCTTAACCTATTAAAAAATACTTCTTTCCCCCCAACAGCAATCACATTCACCTTTTATTTAAGAAATGATGATGGTAACGTATGTGACCATAATTATGATAATAACCTTTTTTAACTTTTTTAGATTCCAGCAACCTAATTTTCTAACCGAAAACGTTAAATTTCTTTTTTACTTCCTTAAAAATACATGTAAACCCCCCTATAAAGAGTTCTGTTTAGGTGTGACCTGGGAAACTGCTTGAAAAAATCCCAACTGTGTGATGGAAAGTGGGACTGTATTGATGGGAAGGATGAAAAGTATTGCAGGTGGGTCATAGTTCTTTGTTTTTACTTTGCTAATTTACATAATAACTCATTGACTATCCAATTTGGATCCAAATGTCAGTAAATGAAGTAAACTTTAGTATCATTATCAGTATTCACATGAAAAATGCGTTATTTTAACTCCAGATAATACATCTGGTAATCTAATATTCTAAACAACCCTGAAATCCTTACAATTGTTCTAGTATTGGAGCTGATTGGCCTAAGTTTATTTTAACTCCAGATAATACATCTGGTAATCTAATATTCTAAACAACCCTGAAATCTTTACAATTGTTCTAGTATTGGAGCTGATTGGCCTAAGTGTGAACCAATGCCAGACAGAAAGGAGGCTTGTCTTTGTCCTCAGGAATTGCACATATTTTATCATTCATTAATCTGTAGCTCATCTCATACAGGGGTGAATACTTTTCTCTTTGCAAAAATATCGATCTTAGAACCAATATACACCCATAATCTAACATTCTTTAAATTTGAAATTATCTCTACTGCCTTTTTTATTTCCTCTGAGTTTGTCGAAATTAATAAATGTCAAGTTTGTCAAACAAATAAATGTCATTCAATTATTCTTAGAATATTGAGTTGACATGCCTTTACAGAAGTGATATAAAAGCCATTTGGCAAAAATAAAATTCTTGAACCATAAGCATTTATCAAGTGCTTAACTAGATAATGTGTCAATCTAGGGACTTGGAAAGTGTAACAACAACCTCTGCATTCCTGGGAACAAGTAAGTTGGCCTAAGTACTTGATAAATTGATTGCCTGATTTCATAAATATTGGCCTATAAACCACTTTTTTCCTGGGTCCTAAACAACCTCAAGAACTAAAGGGCATTTTAAATTGCACCCTGCCACCTATAACACCCTCGTACGTGAAGCGATCCGACTGGCAAGCACATTTTTGGAACAGCATAGAGCCTGCCTATACGCACATTTTCACAAGATCTTTGCCCCATTAAATGAAAAAATCTCAAGATTCAGACTGAAAACCCCTCGAGGTACTAAAGGAATTGAAACTCCGTCTTGTACAAGGGAGAATCAAGCAATTCCTAAACCTCATAATTTAATTTGATTTGGTATATTTGGTATATTTGGTATATTGAAGATGAAAGAAATGTCTTTACAACTCAACTGACTGGTTGAAAGGGGAAACTGATCTTAGGATGATTGTGGAGATGGTTCTGCTCAAGGTTAATTCTGAATTTAGGTTCTGTGATGGTTTGGATGATTGTGGAGATGGTTCTGCTCAAGTTTAATTCTGATATTAGGTTCTGTGATGGTTTGGATGATTGTGGAGATGGTTCTGATCAAGGTTAATTCTGATATTAGGTTCTGTGATGGTTTTGATGATTGTGGAGATGGTTCTGATCAAGGTTAATTCTGATATTAGGTTCTGTGATGGTTTGGATGATTGTGGAGGTGGTTCTGATGAACGTTAATTCTAATTTTAGGTTTTGTGATGGTTTGGATGATGGTAGAGATTGTTCTGATGAAGGTTTATATTCTAATATTAGGTTCTGTGATGGTGTGGATGATTGTGGAGATGGATCTGATGAAGGTCCGAACTGCAAACAGTGTATTGAGAGAATCAGGTAATGTTTAATGCATTTTGAAGAAAGTTCCAAGCAATGCAGTCAAATAAAATTTCATAGCATTTCACACTGGCAAAGCATAATAATTGCGTTAGGAACGCAACATTTAAGTATATTTTTGTTTTCATCTGACTATGACTGCAAAAAAGTCACTTTTTAGGTGGATTTTGAGTCAAAAGATAAAATTTTGTTTACAATTTAATCATCGTGGATATATCTTTTTTTAACATTTGTTTTTGAGTATTGGTGTTGACAAATTTTTTACATTTGTATAAAAATTAGATGATGGCAGCTGCTGGTTGTTTGCAATTTCTGTAATTCCAAAGTCTCAATTCTCTTGTTCACATTTGTGTATCATCGATTTTACGGATAATTTGAATAAGAAAGAAAAGACATTTTTGTGACAATTCCGCATGTGGATACATGCGGATACATCCTAAGAAGAGAATTCTTTGACTTATGAACTATTTTTGATTTTCCACTGCATTGCCCATGAATTGTTCCTCTAACCCTTTGATCATGGTAAATGTAAAAGTCCCATGCCTTGCTTCTTTAAAACTGAGTTTTATGCTTATCGTCTTAGATGGATTTATTTTCTCCTAGACATTCCTATTAATATTTGATCATTGTTGATGCGTCAAAAGAACAGGTTTCTTAAACTCTCCATTTTGGATTGTCCACTGCTACATTTGTTGTTTCTTTAAAACTGATGTGTGAAGTCTTTTCATTTTCTCCGACCCCAGGGGTCTTTTTGCCAATTTACATAGTCGTTGCCAGATTTCTAAAAGAAATATTGATTGGTAATAATAAATAATTCTAATATTAAATATCTTATAAAAAAAATACCCAACAAAATGAAAGTTCCGTAAAAATGAAATCTCAACAAAATATTGCCAAGACATTAATGTGTTGTTTAAAAAATTAGTAAACAAACAAACCAAATTAGTAGAATTGAAATACAAATTAGTTCAATATTTGCAGGAGAGAAATATATTGAGATATGTTAAATAATATGTGCAGTTTGGATTTAGAAAATTTATAAAGCCTCGAACTTTCATATTTGAAATCTTGTTATACAATTGTAAAATCCAAGGTTTTAATGCAAGGAAAGTTATTTCAGAGGTGTACGCAGTGTACTGTCACAGGGCGGTAATGTAAACACAAGACGGATGTCGAAGCCTGACATGGGATCCATCTTTCACATAAATAATCAATGAAATATTCTGGTCATAGGAAACTATTATGTGAATTATCAAAATTATCAAAATTCAATGCTTTTAACCTCCTCAGATACAAAACGAACACTGAGGCATCTATTCTTGTTTACAAATTCCGCCCAAAGAGAACTGGTTTCAATATGTACGCAGAGTATACGGAACTGCAATTAACTTTCCTTGCATTACATTCTTGGTAAAATTTAGCTTTCTTAACAATAGGACGACTTAAGATATTCCTTGATTAAACTGAGATTTTTACAGGAACTAGTTCACCAGAAAAAAAATATTTACGTACTGTTGACTTCTAAGGTCCTCTTTTTGGAAGCTGTAAAAAAGTCCTTCAAAACTTATGAAAATTAAGCGCTGAGCCTTTCTTAATTAAATCTATCTCCTACATGTAACATTCTGAAACAAGTTACGGGATGATTTTTCAGAACAATTCCAGATAATATACACACATGAAATTCCAGATAATATACAAACATGCAATTCCAGATAATATACACACATGCAATTCCAGATAATATACACACATGCAATTCCAGATAATATACACACATGCAATTTTCTAAATATTTTTATTCCAGATTTTTCCGAAGTTGGTCGCTTTGTAATGGAGTTGTTGACTGTAATGATGGAAGTGATGAGGTAAGGTTTCAACTACAGGATGCTCTTCATCATTTTATCTGACTACAGGGTGTTCCACATCATTTTCTTTAAATACAGGGCGTTCGACATCATTTTGTTTAACTACAGGGTGTTCCACATTATTTTGTTTTAACTACAGGGTGTTCCACATCATTTTGTATTACTACAGGGTGTTCCACATCATTTTCTTTGAACTACAGGGTGTTCCACATCATTTTGTTTTAAGTACAAGGTGTTCCACATCATTTTGTTTTAACTACGGGGTGTTCCACATCATTTTGTTTTGAATTACAGGGTGTTCCACATCATTTTGTTTTAATTACAGGGTGTTCCACATCATTTTGTTTTAACTACAGGGTGTTCCACATCATTTTGTTTTAACTACAGGGTGTTCCACATCATTTTGTTTAACTACAGGGTGTTCCACATCATTTTGTTTTAACTACGGGGTGTTCCACATCATTTTGTTTTGAATTACAGGCTTTTCCACATCAATTTGTTTTGAATTACAGGTTTTTCCACATCAATTTGTTTTGAATTACAGGCTTTTCCACATCAATTTGTTTTGAATTACAGGCTCCAGATTTGTGCGGTTGTCCAGAGAAAACATTCCGTTGCAACATCATTTCTCAAAATTTAACCGACAAGTAAGTTTTTTTTCTATGGTTAAAATACTCTTTTTTCCTATGGTAAAATGCTTTTTTTCCTATGGCTAAAATACTTTTTTTCCTATGGTTAAAATACTTTTTTTTCCTATGGTTAAAATACTCTTTTTTCCTATGGTTAAAATGCTTATTTTCCTATGGTTAAAATGCTTTTTTTACTATGGTTAAAATGCTTTTTTTCCTATGGTTAAAATACTTTTTTTTCCTATGGTTAAAATGCTTTTTTCCCATGAACAATGCTTTTTTTCCTATGGTTAAAATACTATTTTTTCTTATGGTTAAAATCCTTTTTTTCCTATGGTAAAAATACTTTTTTTTCTATGGTTAAAATACTTTTTTTTCCTATGGTTAAAATACTTTTTTTTCCTATGGTACTTTTTTTTCCTATGGTTAAAATACTTTTTTTTCCTATGGTTAAAATACTTTTTTTTCCTATGGTTAAAATACTTTTTTCCTTTGGTTAAAATACTTTTTTTTCTAAATTGCATTTTTTTTGTAGTACAAAAAGAAACTCTTAAATTAAGTGTATAGTTTTGACCTATAAAAACCCTTGCCTAGACAGTGTAGAATTTACACCAATAGAAACCTTAGTTTATACAATTTATAGTTTAGACCAATAGAGACCCTTGTTTAGACAGTGTATATATAGTTTAAACCAATGGAAACCTTGTTTAGACAGTGTTTATATAGTTTAGACCAATGGAAACCTTGTTTAGACAGTGTATATAGAGGTTAGACCAATAAAAAACCCTTGTTTAGACAGTGTATATAGAGTTTAGACTTAATAGAAACTCTTGTTTAGACATTGTATATAGAGTTTAGACCAATAGAAACCCTTGTTTAGACAATGTTTATAGAGTTTAGACCATAGAAACCTTGTTTAGACAGTGTATATAGAGTTTAGACTTAGTAGAAACCCTTTTTTAGACAGTGTATATAGAGTTTAGACCAATAGAAACCTTCGTTTATACAATCTAGAGTTTAGACCAATAGAACTCTTCGTTCATATAGTGCATGTAGAGTTTAGACCAAGAGAAACCTTCTTTCATAAAATGTATAGACTGTAGAGTGTATACCAATAGTTTCTAAAATACACAACGAATGTACTCTCCCATTTTTAAAATCGTAAATCACTAATTGTTGGTTTTATGATAAATCACTATAAATTCCATGCTTTATTTAAGGTTAGAAATTATGATGATTAATTCCTTTCTGTTCAGTGCTGAATGCAGTCCGATTGAGCATCTCTGCAATGGTAAAAATGACTGTCGATCAGGAATTTTTTAAATATTATAATAAAATTTTCTAATTTTTTGTATAAATAGTTTATACATTTCTCATGTAACCAACTTCTTCATAATTAAAAGAAAAGTGCAATATCTAAGGGATTGTTGACATAATTTCAAGGAACTCTGAGTTAAATATGAATTATTTACTGAATTATTTTTAATTGTGGGGTTTCTTGCGGACTTCAGTAGCATAGACAAGGGAAGAAATTGGCAGAGTTTATTTCTTTATTATAGATCACGACATTATCTTTTTTAATGTTTCTCTGATAAAGGTTTCTTTAAAGGCAACCGTTGTAAATTAAATATTTAACTCTTCTAATTGAAGGTCCCTTGAAATAACGAAGTCAGTCCCTTTAAGGTTTCGTTCAACCAATAGTTTGCCATGGCAATATTCTGACGCAGAATAATTTATTTTTAAAATTGTATCATTTTTTTTAAATTTCCCATATGAAAATTCAAACTTTAAAGCAAATAATTAAAAAAAAATTATTTTAAAAACTTTTCATGAACCAGGAAAAGATGAGGATCATAGAACCTGTTTAACTTTGGGGAGGTAAATATTTTGGAATGTTCGCAGAAAACGCGTACATGTGTCAGGCTCATAGATAAAGATAGATTGCGCATAAGACGACATTTTTTATCTTGAAAGATATAAATGTACAGAGATGTTTAAAGATATTCCTATTATATAGATTAACCAGGTCGGTTGTGAACATTGGCTGTTCTTATGTCATTAAGTACTTGTGGTGTACATGAGTTCTGTAGAGAGAAATTTAAGTTAGTTTACTCCTTCTCATGTCCTTCTTCAGTTCTCGTCAATGTAATTTGATATTCTCAAAATAAAATTCACTCCTGAGTGGTTTAATAATTATGAAATCCATTAAAACACCAAACCACCCCGCTTATCATTGAAGTACACTTTGACCCGTAGAAGTATGAGTTCAATGACCGTACAATTCTTGGTGATTTTGCGTACATAAGCTATCTATGTTTATTTATTTATCTATGGTCAGGCTAGACACAAAGCAAGTTCAGAATAATTTGTAGGAAATGGTGAATTTTTATAGAATAAGCCCCACCTTCCGGTCTCCTCAATGCCAAACTAGAAATTAAATTCGGGGTTTTTTTGGTTCCATCATTTTTTATCTCTTGAGGTGGGGCCGGGGGGGGCAATTTCACACTTTGTGACTCCAAATTTTGTACAGGCTGCGTTCGGTTCTAATAATTTAGATAGAAGGCTGGAATGTTTTATGCAGCCTCTAATTGGGGTCGTCTACATACATTTAAGATCGGAGGTCATTGACCTCCATTTTGACCTCCATGAACTCAGAAAATATGGGAAAACCCAATTTTTTCAAAAACATTAATACATGTCTGATTAACTTATAATAACTAAATAAGATGAAGGTGACCACCAATCTCAATTTTTTTCGAGATCTACGTAGATGACCACAATTAGAGGCTGCATGCAAATATTTAGCCTTCTATCTATACAACAAATACAGATATAAAGTCAACATTAGTACAATATAGCGTGTATTATTTATAATTATGGGAAAACTGTGTGTTTCACAATATATTAACCACACTTGGCAATTTACATCTGTTTATATCTTTTCATATCTTATCAGTGTTTTTATAAAAAGAGAAAATTTTAGCCACTTTGAGCTTTGAAAATATGCATGGAATTATGTCTTAATTTAAAGGTAAATCTTGATATGTTACTTTACTTAAAAATACTAAAATCCAGTTATCTTTATTTGTCTTCTTAAACCTTATGTTTTCTGAAATATTCATCAATTTCTTGTTTTCCTTTCTCAATCTTATTTATTATTTACCGTTTTTTCAATAACTTTCGCTTAGTTCATCTTTGATTTAAAATAGTCGCATGTTTAAGAATGACACCCCCCCCCTCACGGAACTGTTATGTTATAGCCTTTAAACATTTTGCTTGATGGACATTGGACAACTTGACAATCAAGGCCTCATTTCATGGTGATTTCCTTGTACTCTTGCTTGTTAAAGTCCATATTTGAAATCCAGATCAATACTTGAAATTAAATTGAATGGCTTTAATTGATCTAGCGTGTAATATATTAAGTCACTCTTTATCTCAAGTGCTCGTTAATGATGACATATGGTTTACTCGATACAATTCATCTATTTGTTCAAGTACAATTAATTAGCCTTTACTGCATTTTTAGCTGTTTTACCCCCCCCCGTATGGTGCCCCTGAAAAAAAATCCCAGATGTCCGACACATTTTTTAGGAAGCATTAGGGTAAAACTAGCTCAAATACGAAATTTTAGCATTTAAAATAATTTTCCTAAGTGGCCCAGCCATTTTACTGTTCTTGTTTTTAAAGATTTTAGTTAACAAGGTTAGCAGCGCGTAAAATCTCGATTTTTGAGTGACATTGCTGTGAGGCTCTTTGAATGTATAAAGACTTAAAATAATTCACTAAAAGGTTAATAACTCCATGTTCTTTAAATATATTGGAGTTTCGTTTTTTTTTGTATTTTTATAAAGACATAAAAGGGCATCTGTTTATGAAAAACATTTTTTTACAAGTTGCATCATTTGTCCAAGCAAGAGGAGTTGAGGAGAAAATTGCACCAGAAACTGGTTTTTTTTTCAATCGATTTTTTGGCCAATACCTTACACATTTCCTACTAAACTTGTCAATAAAAAATGTATTAGACCATTTATGAATTTTCAAAAAAATTTAATAGCATGGTGTTTAGTTTAAAAAAAAACTTTACCCACTCCCAGATGGAGCTGACAGAAGGTGTTAAAGACGCAATTTTTCACTTTTTTTCTAAATATTTGACCAAAAAACAAAAAATCGAAAAAAAAATTGTCAAATATTGTTTTAACCAAGTTAAAGGATTTCCAAAATGGTATCACTCTTTAAAATCCCTTGAAAAATGACGGGATAAACAGGAAAATGGCCATTTAGGAAAATTATTTTTAAATGCTAAAATTTCGTATTTGATTTGTAAACGGGCACCCTTCCCCCAACCCCTCCACCTCTAAATATGCCTCTGGTTGAAAATATGATTTTTATTTAGTAAAAACTTGGAATTTAATGAACTTATTTTGTTTTAAATATTTCGTTCATGAAATTTAATTATAACTGCTAATTGTATACTTAAATATCCCGGATTTCTTGCTTTATTTGATGGAGGATTGTCATGCTTACTGGGAGGGAAGAAAAGCAATAAGTCCATTAATCAACTAATCATATTCTATTCCTAGAATAGATAGTTGATAAATTCAATTCAATTCTATTGAAAATTCAATAATCCATTGTCAGGACAAAAAGTTATCTCCATGATAATTTTCATGATTTTTACAGTTTATCTCAATGATAATTTTCATGATTTTTACAGTTTATCTTCATGATAATTTTCATGATTTTTACAGTTCATCTCCATGATAATTTTCATGATTTTTACAGTTCATCTTCATGATAATTTTCATGATTTTTACCGTTAGATCTAATTACTCTTAACTTAAAACTTTAAAATAAAGTTTTAAAAACTTAGTTTTAGAGTTTTAAATTTTACAACTATCTTCAAGTTAAATTTGTTTATTACATCCATAGATTAAATGTTTTTATATTGAAGTAAGGGAAGTATGGCCACACCCCTCTCCAGTAGCTTTTATTTTTTTCATAAACAATAATAGAAAAGTTAATTTACCTGTCCGATTCTTATTTAATGTTCAAAGAAAAGTATTTAACATCGTTTAATCTCCTTAAATACTGAAATCCTACAACCAATTGAAACATAATATTTACAGAAGTTAAAATTTAGTCCATGATTTATTTCGTATTTTATCCCAATTTAATTCATCTTATGTAACTTGACAATACATACCAAGTATTCTCTAAAGCACTCAAGGTTAAACTAATTGGACTAGTTCAACTTCTCGCTATTCAAACAATATGATCTGCATGATTTGTTGGTTTTATTAAGTTTTCCTGAGACGTTTTTTTTTATATTTGTTGATTAAAACAACATTTGAAATCAAATCCTATATTTTTCTGCAGTAATATCCAAGTACAACAAATACAGATATAAAGTCAACATTAGTACATTAAATATTAGTAAAACTTTTGCAGCACGAAAGCTTTGATAGCTTAAAGCTGTTATAACAAAGCTCTCCTATGATATCTGCTTTTCTTAGGAGCCGGCCTTTAAATATTTTAAATTTTCTAAATATTTTAAATTTCCTGAGAAGAGGGTGGAGTCATCTTTGTTTAACCACATCTCCCCCCCCCCTTTGTGGGAGATAATTTGTTGATGTTCTTAGTCAAATTAATTTTTGCATTGTTTAGTAAATATGGAGTAACTGAGAATGAACTTATGCAACCTCAGAAGAACTCAAATGGGTATCTCAAATTCAGGATGCAGGTTAGTTGCATCATGAGTTAAGGATGCAGGTGGGATACATCATGAGTACAGAATGCAGGTGGGATGCATCATGAGTTCAGAATGCAGGGGGATTGCATCATGAATTCCGAATCCAGGTGGGTTGCATCATGAGTTAAGTATGCAGGTAAGTTGCACAATGAGGCCATAATGCAGGTGGGTTGCATCATGTGTACAGAATGCAGGGGGGATTGCATCATGAGTAAAGAATGAAGGAGGGGTTGCATCATGAGTACAGTATGCAGGTGGGTTGCATCATGAGTTTAGAATACAAGGTGATTGCATCATGAGTACAAAAGGTAGGTGGGTTGCATCATAAGTACAGAATGAAGGAGGTTGCACTTGCATCATGAGTTTTGTCTCATGGAAACTTTACTGCTTGGATGGTTGATTGATAGTTATTGCTAAATTCTTTTATTTTGTCATTGTTTCTCTAAAGGTTTATTCTTGTTAAACTGTGCTACACTACAACAATTGCATAGTCATTTGTCACCGTATATTACTGAAGTGTCCCTTTAAGAAGAAAAAGTTGTTTACTTTAACCATTACGACAATATACTTGGTCAATTTCAATTACTCATGAACAACTTTTTTCATTTATTACTAATGCTATACACTGCATTGGTCAAATACTGAGAAAACGCCTTATTTTGCCTTTTACTGCAAATTTTTAGAAAATCAGTCCATTAAAGAAAATTTGTGAGTAATTAAAAATTGTTTTTAAATGTTTTTTTTTTATAAATTTTGATTATTGTTTGTAGGGTGTGTGGTATACCTACTGCTACGAGGGTTGGACGGATGAGATGAGTGCTGAGATGTGTAAAACCTTGGGATTCAAGGAAACAAGAATTTGGATTCAGCATATTCCCGTAGAGGTATATTCTTTCAACAAGAATTTCTTGAAATAGACCCGTAGAGGTAAAGTTTCTCAACCTGAATTTTTATGCAATAAACCCATAGAGGTATTTTCTTTCAACCAGCATTTTTTTCCACTAAGTATTCGGGTGGTAATTGTCTCCAAAAAGTCTGATTTGCTTAGCCACTGAAAACCCATTTTTACATTATTTTGGGTAGGTTACTACTCTATTGTCCTATCTTTTTTTATCTATTACTACTCGATTGTCCTATCTGTGTTTATATCTATAACTACTCTATTTTTTATTTTATCATGATTTTTTTAAATATGCTTTATCATCTTTATCATCTGTACACTGCACATTTCAAAGTGCAAACGCGTTATATGTACATTGTTCAGAGGTCGTTTTGTTTCAGATAAATTTTAAAGCAATGTAAGGTCAGCCTAAGCTCACAAATAAAAAAATGCAAAAAAAATGTTAATAGAAATGAGAAATTATTTTTTTAAAGTTTTAATTTTTTTATTTTGAATGTTTTTTCCAAAAACTAATTTTTTTTTGTACGGATTGTATGGATTTTTCTGAAAATGTGTTTATTTTTGTACGGGTTTTTCTCACTTTTGGTCACCCTGTATATCATTTATGACTACACTATTGTCCTATCTGTATTATCAATGACTACTCTATTGTCCTATCTATATCTATGACTGTTCTATTGTCCTAACGATTTTATATATGATTAATCTATTGTCCTTTACATGTTTATATCTAAGACTATTCTATTGTTCTATCTTTTCTATCTTTGACAACTCGATTGTCCTATCTATGTATCTTTATACGACTACTTGATTGTCTAGGTGAAGGATCTGGGTTTAATGTTGACCGGAGTAGCGAGTAAACCTGCTAAAGTGTGCAAGCTTATTTACATTGTCTGCCAGTAATAAAGACTGGAAACTATATTATTTTATCTTATGTTATCTTATGTAAATATTTTTATTTATAGTTTTAATAAAGTTTTATTAAATTATTTAGAATAATTTGTCCATAAGGATCCTTTTTTATTATAGCACAGAGACTTAGTTTTATGACTGAAAGACGTTAAAGGAATTGTAGACGGGATTTGAAGTGAACTAAATAGTTGTAATGACCAATTCACTACGGAACCCTTTACATGAAATTCTGACAATCTTTCTTTTACTCTGTTGCCTAAGTATACGATTTATATAATAAAGCTCTTCGCTTTTATGTAAAGTTTGATATCAAGCGCGGATAAACTTTACTAATCCCAAGCTAGTTGAAAATTATCAGTTATAAACTAGAAAAGCAGTAATATCTCATTCATGTGCAGTTTTGTAATTTGGAAATGCCTGTTTACAAATGGAGGGCCAATTGAAAATACGTTTACAGTCCTTTTAGACCTTTAACTCAATGCTAGTTAGTGCCATATTTGAAGTTATCTTTCTAAAAAACACATTTTTCAGGGTCAAAATAGAACATTGGACAATAAGTGTTAAAACATGATTTGGTCCGTTTTTTGACAACTCAAAACTTTGCTCTTTGTTGTTAAGATTGCTTTTATTAATTTCAATAAAGGGGAATCCGATCTCATTGGTTAGGAAAAGTAACAAAGAACTTTGATACTTTTTTTTAACTTATCATCTTCTAAAACCCAAAAGTCAAAATAACACGAATCAAGTTGTTTTACATCACTATAAGCAATGCATTTAGGAAATGTATTTGTGCCATATATATTAATAGATTTATGTGTATTTAGAATTAGGTATATCTTATGTTTCATTAAAAGTACGTGTGGTTTTTAACGTATGCCCGAGTGATTTTATCGTATGGTTCGGTGATTTGCGTTTTATATCCTTAATTTATCGCATTTCCGCAATATATTTCAATCCATATGTTGAAGTACTTCACGGAAGAGAATATATTTAATCATCTAAATAAATATTAAAAAATAAAATTTTGAAACTGTAGACATAAATTCGAAGTGACTTTCCACTGTTAGACGTCTTATTTACATAGGTGCCTTTCATTACAAACTTGGTCTAATCAAGCGCGAGATATCCATTATTATAAAAACTGATGTTTTTAAATCGTTTCACAATAGCTCAAATCTGTTACAGATAGGGTTTCCAACCAACGAAACGTTTCGCGAAAGTTTTCTTTCGCATTTCGCAAACTTTTTAGCATTATTTTTCTAAAATCCTAAATGCGAAAATTTGCATTTTCTATTTTTCGCGAGCGAACGAAACCATAAGCAATATAAGGTAAATAAAAAATAAATACAGCAAGCGGAGATTAATCCTGAGGTACGGAGACTGTTAAGCGGGGCTTGTAGGTGATTCTACGTATCAGGAGGCTCTGGAGCTTTAATTTCGTGGGGCTCATGGAGGCTCTGCTCTTAATCCCTTGCACCATGCACATTACATTGATTAGATAAATCAGATAAAGGGAACCGTCGTAACCAAACCTTTCTTCAGTTGTAGACGTGGTAAATCAGGAAATCTTAAAATACAACAATATCTTGGTTGTTGGTTTCAATTTTGAGGATTTGAGAATAGTGAAAACAAGTTTATTTTGCGACACCCTAAACAAACTTTTTGTGTGTACTACAGTGATCGGCAGTACACTGACCTAAAAAAAGTGGGTTTTAGTGGAGAGTGGGGAATAAATGAAAAATAAGTTCCTTTTGTTTGCATGATAAATCTACACAAAAACATATTTTCTCCAATTTTATACTTAAAGAAAGCGTTTAAAGATTAAAAAAGATTAAAAATCGTTCGTTCTCTCAAAAAACTATCGTTTATCAAAATCTTTTGGAACATTTGTAGTAAAAAAACAAACAAAAGATTTTTCGTTTATTTTTAAGAAACGATAACTTTTCATTTCTCTGAACAATCTATTTCGTTCGTCTATCATTTGTTTTTTTCTGAACGACTCTTTTTCTCGAAAATTTTGTTCGTTCAAAAAACTATGCCCAGAACAAATATTACCAAGCCTGATTTATCTTACAGAAGCATCTGCAGATGAATTACAGAATATTGATTTCTAACCTATTTGGCCTTAATCCCCTTTTTTATTTTTGAGATCACTCCCTTTCAATCGGAAATAATACGTTATCAATCCTTTATGTTTATTGGGACACACTTTACAATTTTAAATAATCTTCTTTCTGTGAATTTTGAGCCTTAAGTTTTACGACACAAATAGGGATGGGCACTTTTCGTTTTGAAATTTTCTGAAAATCGTTTTCCGTTTTGCAAAGCAAAATGAATACAAAAAAAACAGAAAACGATCGTATTTAAAAAAAATCCAAAAAGATGCCCGTCCCTAGACACAAGGCATATTTGTATACCATTTATTGCTATTTTAATTTCTACAATATACGTATACATATATAAATACAAAACACAAATAAATATATAAACTTACAAATTGGAAAACCTACAGTTGATATGAAAATATGAATTGAACCATGAAACAACCTGAACCAGAGAAATTATTCACAGGATAAAAATAGTTTTTTTTCAGAAACTATAATTTCAAATTTTGCAAGAAATTGGCAAATTTGCACATACAAGTTCGCGAGTATTTGCAGAGCTTGGAACTTTTGAATAGCGTGAGGTAGTTAAACCAATGCACTCTCTACGAAATTTATAGAGAAGAAGTATAAAATATCCGTAAAATTAGATTACGCTTCTTAGCTCGGTTTTAATTAGTTTAGACTTCAGATCTTAGATATTGTTAAATTAAACTCTAAAATAAAAATATCGACATTTGCTTAAATTTCTCGTCACGGCTGATGGATTCTTAAGGTGGTGGATAAAGTGAAAATATTCAGAAATAATCACATGTACACCTAGTATGCAAGGTTAAAAGGGGGAGGGGTGACAGTGAGAGGGTTTTAAGAAAGGGAAGGAATAAAAGTGAGAGGGTTTAAAGAAACGGGGGGATGAAAGTGAGAGAGTTTTAAGAAAAGGGTGCGGATGAAAGTGAGAGGGTTTAAAAGAAAGGCGGAATGAAAGTGAGAGGGTTTAAAGAAAAGGATGGGGATGAAAGTGAGAGAGTTTTAAGAAAAGGGTGCGGATGAAAGTGAGAGGGTTTAAAATAAAGGCGGAATGAAAGTGAGAGGGGTTTAGGAAAGGGGTGGGGATGAAAGTGACAAGGTTAAAAGAAAGGGGGGAATAAAAGTGAGAGGTTTTTAAGAAAGGGGGGGATGAAAGTGAGAAGGTTTAAAGAAAGGGGGTGATGAAAGTGAGAGGGTTTTAAGAAACGGGGGAATGAAATTGAGAGAGTTTTAAGAAAAGGGTGCGGATGAAAGTGAGAGGGTTTAAAAGAAAGGGGGGATGAAAGTGGGAGGGTTTTAAGAAAGGGATGGGGATGAAAGTGAGAGGGTTTTAAGAAAGGGAGGGATAAAAGTGAGAGAGTTTTAAGAAATCGGTTGAGATGAAAGTGAGAGGTTTTAAGAAAGGGTATCATTATTAACTATATATTAACATTTTCATTCACCTGATATCAGGGGGGTATTTAAAGTGAGAAAAATTTGTTAAAGGTGAGGGTAATCATTTTTGTATGCGTCTATCTTGAAACCCCAATAATTAAATTAACTGATTGAAACTTGAAAGTTCACCATTGAGTTAAGATCTTGGGATATTTTTTGCCAGAAACTCTTTTAGTTAATATATCTTTGCATCCCAACCTTTGATATTTCTTGCTAAATCAAAGAACTTTGAACAATTAAAGGTTTACACCGTCAGGTTGCCAATATGGGATTAGAAAATTGGGTTTGCGGCAAAAACTCATGGTTTCTTAACACGTTTTGAAGCTTCTGTTTTAGAAATTTTTAAACAAAAAAAAGAATTGCTTTATTTTTTTACAGGGTGTCCCACGAAACAGGACAATTGGCAAATAGTTGTTTTTTAACAATTTATTTATTTTTATTTTTCCCAGATTTTTATGAAACAAATTTATTGATACATGTATTTAATGCAGAATGCAGATAATCATTTTTTCAATCTTCTTGTTTTTCGATTGTCCTGTTTTCCCTTTGTCAGCTGCATTGAGTTACATGTATCAGTGTCTGCAGCAGTAGTTTAGAAAGAGTTGGCAAATAGTTAAAAATGTTTAAAAAATCCTATATGGCAGTCATATTAAAGTAAAATTGACTTGAAAGTAAAACATGTTTGTGTAAAAGATTTTTTGACAAATTAAACAGCAAAAAGATATTTGATATCAAATACAGTACAGGGTGTCTCTGAAAGTGTGTTTAGGCTTTTTCACTCAATAAACCAATAAACGTCGTTTTATTGTGATAAAAAATGTTACCAGGACTTGATACAATGCCCATAAATTGCGGCGAGTCGTCATTGAAACATTTTTGCTCTAAAATGCCATTATAACCTTTTTTAAATAAAGATTTTGTATAAGCTTAAGTATTTTCGGATTGGTTTTTCAGCTTCTCCCGGTTTCAACACAACTTGAGCTTAAGACAAAATCCAACATTAACGGATTGATTTTTCTTTCTTTGATTTTCGTTTCTTTTCTCTTCTCCCTTCCCCCTCCCCGTTTCGGGTGTGAGAGACTGAATTTACAACACCCGGCCATTCTTACTTTTTTTTTGAACTTATCTAGCCTTATCCTTTTTTGTTCAAACCTTTCTCATTCTCTGTACCTGACATTTTAAATTTTAAACTGTACCTGAAATGTACTGTCCCTTCTCCTCAGCTTTTCAACAAAATTCCAACATCCGCTAATTTCATTTAGTTTGAAATCCTCAATTTTATCATTGAAAATGTGCAATTTATTCTAATATGTAGAAAAGAGACCATGTCCAATGTCCATTTTCAAATATCAGGCTTACTTTTAAAGTTTAAAACGGCATTTTAGAGAAAAATATTTCATCATTGGGTGCAATTTCTTAACACAATATAACAATGTTTATGTAGTAGGCCAAAAAGCCTAATCACTCTTTTCAGAGACACCATTCAAAACTTTTCTCCAACTGTCATGTTTCGTGGGACACCCTCTACTTTTTTATCCAACGAATTCGGTATTAGCTTCTTCTTGCAATTAATTTCAGGGTATGGTATCATAAACACGGTATATTACGCAATGACCATGATGCTAAACCTTGTAATTTGCGTCAATTAAATATCAAAGAAAGATAACAGATTATTACACGAATTACACACACGTACAGAGAGTAGCTAAAGCTTATGATTTATCACTAGCTAAAGTGCCCGGCGTTGCCAGTGAAATTTGAAAAATTTAAATTTAAAAAAAAATATTTTTAAAAATTCGAATTTCTGACAATTTGATCCAGCCTTTTGGCTTGCTATAGCTAACATACAAATATACATTTTAAGACGAAGAGCTTTATTATAGAGATTAAATACATTTTTTAAGTAAAAACAATATTAAAGTACCTTATTAAAAAGTATACAAAACAAAATACTAAGCAAAATCTCGTAGGGTTTAGAATATTAAAGTATTCAAAATGCCGAACACGTAGGATTTCTTTTTGTTTATTAGGAGACTCGACAGTTTAAAATACATTAATTAAAACTTTTCAAAGTTTATTTTTTGTTTTATTTTCAACTTTTCTCGAAGTTGCTTGCTGTACGGTAATCAAATAAATTTAAATCTAAACGATGAATTGGATAATAATTGGAATAATGAAACTACTTTTATCTCTATCAGATATTTCTAAAATGAGGTCTAGACCCCAAAAAATGCACTATAACTTATAGAAGGTTTAGTTTGTATCCAATTACTTTTCAGATACATGGAATACCCGCATTTTTTTTCTTTCGCGAACATTAATTTAATTTATAATTTTTTATGTTTAATTATTATAATTAAGATAGATACTGTGATTTATGGCTGATAATTATATACAATTTATATTATTATAATTAAGACAGGTTCTGTAGATTTATGGCTATTAAATATATCCGATACGGTTTTCATAAAAACAGAAATCAATTTTATTTGTTCATATGAAAACAGAAATCAATTTTACTTTTTCATTTGGAAACAGAAATAGATTTCGTTTGTTCATATGAAAACAGAAATAGATTTTACTTGTTCATATGAAAGCAGAAATAGATTTTACTTGTTCATATGAAAACAGAAATAGATTTCACTTCTTCATATGAAAACAGAAATAGATTTCACTTCTTCATATGAAAACAGAAATAGATTTCACTTCTTCATATGAAAACAGAAATAGATTTCGTTTGTTCATATGAAAACAGAAATAGATTTTACTTGTTCAGAAATAGATTTCACTTCTTCATATGAAAACAGAAATAGATTTCACTTCTTCATATGAAAACAGAAATAGATTTCACTTCTTCATATGAAAACAGGAATAGATCTCACTTTTTATATTAAACGGAAATACATTTTGTATTTATTTATCTATTTATAAACTTTGCTTGTCAGTTTCTTTGTGTATCCAATAAACGTCAAAACGGCTGAACCGATCAGGCCCAAATTTGTGGTACCTCATGTGACCCCAGGGAAGGTTTGTGGACGATCAAATTTTCAAATATGTGCTTCTAACAAAATTCGATTATTGAAAATTTAAAAATCCACAAAATTTTATATATAAAATTTACAACATTTTTGTTTGTTTTTGTTTTACGATGTATTGTATACAAAAAGAAAATGTTCACAATTGAAAAAGAAAAATGTTAAAACTAACAAAAGTCCCAGATTGCTGGAATAATGACCGAAATCTGTTAATTTCATGTGACCATTGTGAATGAGGCCTGTAAATCTAAGTATATACACTATTGTTAAAGGGACAGACTGGCTTTGTAAGGTAATTGAACTAAGTATGTAGTGTTGTGGACAAATTCTTTAGGATTCATTTGAGACATACAAAACTTTTTAAAGATCTATAAATCCTGAGTTTGAGCGCAAAGTCGACGTTCAAAATTGTACTTTTGGGTGGATACTTTTTCAGAATTGTTTTTATGTAAACAAATCTCTACAGTAAACTAATTAGTTATTTAGGAACAGGTTGAGAAAATAAAAATTAACCTTATCATCGAAAATAAGTAATCTTGTTCAATTATTAGTTTATATTTTCTCATTATTCTAGTTGCTCTATTTTGTGGAAAAGACGACATTTGAAGAATTTGTAGAAATCTGCGAATAATTAAATTTATAAAAAATAAGAAATTCAATATAATGATACAAACGAAATAATTGATTCTACCATTAATCTATTGACAAATTTCTTTTGAAAAATATGTTCCTAACCATCTAAAGTTTACAGTATAATTTTTACTTTATTTTTTGTCGTCGTTATCTAATAATTTAAAAAACCCGATTCTGAAAACTTACCCACCCAAAGTCATGATTTTTATGTCGACTATGTACTTAAACTCAGTAATTATACATCGTGGAAAAGTTTTATATGTCGCAAATGAATCCTAAAGAAGTTGTCCATAACACTGCATACTCAGTTTAACTACCTTACCTAGCCGGTCTGTCCCTTTAAAGAATATTAATGTCCATGTATAGCCGTATGTTTACACATCTAATTTTATTTTCTACACTAAGCATGATAATTGAGAACTTGAGAAGTAGCTCTTTACAAAATTGTTTTTCATCTCCGATGGCAGTTTATACCCGGAAACCCCCCCTGCAATGTTTGCAGGGGGGGGGTTACGAATAGAATTTTTTGGCGCGAAGTGCAAAGACATTTTGTATCCCCCTGGGAAAAAAAATTCTTCCCCCCAACGTAATTTTATTCAGGCATTTTAGTATTTTTTGTAACGGAAAATTAGTTTTCTTTTGATTGCAATTCAAGTCTCTTTCTCAGCGAAACAAAAAACCTACCAAGGACGAACTCGACGAAATGATTAAAATTAACAATCTTTATAACTACATTTTAATAAATTATACGAAAACTAAACCAATTTTGTATTTTTTTTTAAGAATCATGAAATAATAATAGAAATTTACCTTTTTCGAAAAAAATTATTCTTTACAAAACTTTGAAATAAAAATGATCTTTAGGAAATGATTTTCGATAACAGCTACTTCTTTTTTGCAATGTCATAAAAATGTTTAAGTTACAAAAAATTCGCAAGTAATGCCTTAAAATCTAGTCATGCTTAAAGATGTATTTTTTCTGGTATTTGTATTTAATACAATTTTCTGCAAATAACCTTTTCATTTGAATAGAAAACGTGATTGATAATATTATATTAGTCACTTTTGCTAGCGTCATTTTTTAATCTTTTTGGCTATGTGTCATTATTGCTTTATGATATTGTTACTTTATGAATTTTTTTCTACAAAGCCCATTATTAACACAATAAGTCCTTTTTAAAGCCTTGCATGCTTACGCGCCTTACAGAACAAAAAATTTAGAAAAATGCATTAATGCAAAATTGCAAAAATGCCATTTTGAAAAAAAAATCCACAGATTCGTCCTACTTTACTTCAAAAATAGCATCTACGCTGCAGAAATTTTGTAGCCAGGATAAAACAAAAATGTTCACTCACTGAAATAAGCAAAATCGTTTAATATTTATAATTTTTTCCTTTAAACCTAGAATTTTTCAACTCCAATTTATTTCGATACTGAAAAAGTTTTAGATTGTTAATTAACTTACATTGATGATAAATAATTTAATTTTTAATTACTGATGGATAACTTTGTAAATATAATTAATATCAATTTAGTTGAAATTACGCAATATCTATCCCGCGTTCATCTCTCCGAGCTCCCCAGCCAAACCTCCTTGTATTGTGGATTTAACCAGAATAAATCATTTACTTTCATTTATCAACGGAATACTTTCCCCTTCATTATACAATACGATAAAGTGATTAAAACCGAAATGATTGTCGACATCGTTTTTTCTTTTAATAAAAAATGCTGTTTATGAATTTTAACTGATATTTCACAGCAATTAAAAATTTCAACCATTTTTAATTGTGTTTTCTCTGATAAAGTCACCTGCGCGGATTTACTCCGTCAAGAAGAGGAAAAAAACATTCCCTGTAATCGTTATTTTGCAACCTAGTTTTGCAGAAACAATGAAGATGCGAGTGATTCTAGTCCTTGCTTTTGCAACCTTGATTTCTGCAGAAGATGATCTACCGCAGCCTAGAGTTGACAGGTTTCCAGCATTTTTAAAATGATATTTAAAAATATTGCAAATTTTTTAGGTTTAAAATAAAAAAATCAACGATGCAAATTTTGGTACTGAGACAGAAATGACGACCTGTAACTTAATTGAATTAAAGACATGAAGAAAGGATTTAATTTACTTCTAATTTAGTCTTTTAATTGCATATTAAATGATTTGGCAAAGAGCTTTCAGCTGAAGTAAAACTGTAAATGTAAAAACAAAAACAAGGAATTTATAATTTTGTACAATTGTCTCTGATGTATAAAACTTTGTGGGTAACCCTGTAAATTATTATCCAAAGTATTTGAATTAAGCTTTAGATGGTTGTTGTTCGTTTTCTTATTTTAATTTTGCTGGTTTAATTGCATTAACTTGTAAAATTCAGAATTTATAGGATTTTTTATTTTATATCTTTAAAAAATAGAAAAGAAATGGCGTCACTAAAAGTTGTCTCGATGCACAATTTAAAATTTTATAACCAATTCTTTACAAATTATAAAAAAATTGACGAAAAAACTAAAAAATGTTTTCAAATATGATTCCAAGAAATGTATAAAGTCAAAATATGCGGAATGAATGTGTTTCCTGGAACATTTATAAAGTTTTTATTAAAAAATAAACAGAATTTATAGGATTTTTATTTTATATCTTTAAAAAAATAGAAAATAAATTGCGTCGCTAAAAGTTGTCTGTCGCGCAATCTAAAATTTTTTAAACAAATTCTCTACAAATTGTAAAAAAAAAATTGACCACAAAACTAAAAAAATATTTATAATATGATTCCAAGAAATGTATCAAGTCAAAATATGCGGAATCAATGTGTTTCCTGGAACATTTAGAAAGATTTTTATTTAAAAATAAATATAAATAAAAAATAGATTACTGCACAATTCAAATCAGACTTATTTGTACACACATGGCCTTAGACAAGGCTCAACTTTCCAAATATTTAGACAAGGTCGTCTTTTCCTTGTATCAAGCAGTACAACAACAACTACACTGTCAACCAACTCTATCTGCTATGCAACTACAGGTAATAAAAAATAAGAATAAAAAAATCAATAAACAAATTTCGACGGGTCGACTTTTAAGAGCTGCTGTACATTATAATTACAGACTTTGTAGGCAAACCAGGACTGTACTTCTACAAATATTCTAACACGTCAGTAGTATAAAAAGTGTAAACAAACTCTATCCTCGTCTATAATATGTATTACTCATTTCACTGAAAACCCGAATTTAGATTTGTCCTCATAAAGTTTCTGTGTTCTTACTGTGAAAAAGTCTTTTCTGTAATTGTATCAACATAGTATATACATCGTAAATTATTAAAATGAATTAAACTAGACAAAACCTTTTAACTATTTCCATCGTCCTGCCCTGCTCTTAATTCTAATGTCAAACACAATGCTAAATATAGGGATGTTAACGTTTTCATTTTTTTTTAAAACGATCGTTTCGTTATGAAAACGACGATGAAAAATCGAAAACAAAACGATCGTTTTTTCAAAAAGTTCGTTTTTTAAAAATGGTCGTTTTTAAAACGATCGTTTTGAAAAACGATCGTTATTAAAAGCGATCTTTTTCTAAAACGATCGTTATTCGTTTTCTAAAAGTTTAAAACGAGTGGGTCGTTTTTAAAAAGATCGTTTTTTTTCAAAAAACGAAACGATCGTTTTTGAAAACGATTGAAAAACTAAACAAAAAACGATCGTTTTCAAACACGATTAACAACCCTAAATAGGAGGTTTCTATATTTGATGTAAACACTAAACACTGTTTAGCTCTTGGTATCACTACATGTGCTGGAAGGAAGAAAAGACAGCTTATTGAAGATCCTATCTCTCACATTAAATCTGAAATTGAACTCACCAAACCTACCAGAGTTTACAGGTTCAATCTTGTTAACCAAGCTATATCTAACTATTTGAGAATTAAACATTTTTCAAATGAATGAAAAAAAATGAGAATTACTTCTCAAATTGACTTACTAGAGACTAACTAACAACATCTAATCAAGGTTGTAAAATAAGGTTAGTTACTCATGATGCGCCCCAATGTATGAAAAATGGCGTCTCCTTAGATAGATAGATAAATACCCAATATGACGTCACTAACTATAGAGGCGAGAGTGACGTCATATAGGGTATTTTTCTCTCTATCTTAGGAGACAACATTTTCTGTACATTGGAGTGCATCGAGATTAACCTGACTGTACAAAAACTACAATTTTTATAAATAGATTTTAAAACATCATTAAAGGGACCGTTCACTTATTTGGATAATTTCAGGGTAAACTAAACAGCCTATTCGCTGTTGATTGGTAATTGTCATGAACTAGTGTCTATAGAGAGGGACCGTCCCTTTCCGCTCAAATTCTGAACAAAAAAATCGGATTTTTCTCCGGCCACAGTTGTCTTTGAAAAGTAAGACTATTACCAATCAACAGCAAACAAGCTGTTAAGTTTACCCTAAAATTACCCAAATAAGTGAACGGTCCCTTTAAAAAGAAAATCATATACCAAAATCTTCATAATTGGCTTAAATATTTAAAAAGTCCCCTTCAATCTAATTTTAGATTTATTCCTGTACTTTTAAAAACTTTTAACCCCTCTAGGCAACCTGATGATTTTGCTCTTGATTCGTCAGCTGATCTTGAGTCTGGTTCTAACAGGTGAGGAAACTGGTTTTACAAAACAAAAAATGGCCAAACTAAAGAAGCTTGAAAAATTACAGGATCAAGGAGGAGATTTGGTTTATCATCAAAAATATTTCTTTAAAATTCACAAATTAATATTGTTCAATGGTGGAAAAATGTAACACGTCTAAAGAGGGAGCTGAGGGGTTGCAGAACATCCATGAGCCCCGCTAACTGAACGTGAAGACAAAGCTGGTTAGCCTGGCAGACGTAGCATGCGGCTCGAAGACGATTTTGACTGGCTAGGAGACCATTTTACGAATCAGGAGGTTCTGGAGGTCAGTTAGCGGGGCTCATGTCATGGATGCTCTACACCCACTCCCTAGTCTAAATAGCAAAGTCTAATCAAGTGTAGTTCTATGGTAAAAGGATTATCGATAGAACGTAAAATACTTTATAATTAGACCGGTCTTGGAAATTTTACATGCATTTAATAAAAGATGAAAAATTCACAATTTTAAAAAATTGAAAATAAAAATGTAATTTCTATAGGAAACCCAAGTTCTTCTTGTACTGGATGACCACCACCTCCACCTCTACCACGACCACGTTTACCACCACCCAGACCCTCTCAAGTATTAATTGCACGCCGAACAACTTCATCTACTCCCTCTGTGGTTAATTCAAATATTTATGCGTAATTGTTTTGTTAAGTTTTTCTTTTTAAAAGTATTGAATATAATCCAAAGGTAAAAAATCGTACATTAGAAAATTATCCATCTTTGTTACGTATTTCACGTTTTGTTCACTTTCAGATCTAAACTTGATTTCATTTCATGTACAGATATTTTTACAGTACATACAAATACACTGGTAATATTATTTTGTTGCCTAATTTGTTAAAATAAAGGAACTTCATGTAAAAATAGTTATTTTTAAAGGAGTTAATTTTTAATCTGATTTTTCTATACAAACTAATTTCTGAACGAAAGATTTTCCTTAAAGGGAGTGACCGTCAACATTTGGTAGTTGAACTGAGAAATATTTTAGGCTTCATTTGAAGCATATAAAACGTTTTAATGATGTTTAATAACTGAGTTTAAGCGCAAACCCAACTTTCAAAATCATCCATGATTAAAAAATGATTAAATAACGACGACGAAAAACCTAGAACACATAAAGATGGCCAAATTCTATTTAAAACAACCAAAATTTCTTGTTTCCTGTGTCATTTTTATTTTTCGCGTTTTTGATTAATTGCATGTGAAAGGTTGATAAAACACTGCTTTGTTTAAGTGTTCAATTGTTGTTTTTTTAAAGTTCAATTAATAAAAATTTGATACGTAATGTAATTGATTTTTTATTCTTTTATTTTCTGAAGGAAATCAGCACTCTAGGAAACTTTGTTCTTGAAAACTTTAATTTTAATAAGAAAACGAAAGGATCAGGCTGAAAACGAAAGGATCAGGCTGAAAATGAAAGGATCAGGCTGAAAACGAAAGGACCAGGCTGAAAATGTTAATTTTTATGAAAACACCACTAAAGCTGGATCAAGGATAGCCATAGGTAATTATAAACAGAGAGTTAAAGATACTGAGAACAATAATGCCTTTAAAATGTTTCTCAAACGAAAGTTATGTCGCCAAAGTGTATTTTTGCGTGATGTTGGATGGGGTTATCTGATTACAAGGATGTACAGGGGGAAGAAGGCTTTTGCTGCCAATGAATCCAGAAGAAATTCTGAGCAGAAAGATTTTTGAAAATGTCTTCCTTATAAACAGAAATGTATCAAAACTTCTATACTAAACTAATTAGATGTTTTGGAACACAATAATTGGAACACATCAATAGAAATTTGTCAATAAATCAATGTTAAAATCAATTATTTCTTTTCCATCATTATATTGTAATTCTTATTCCTTACGACTTTGTTCGCAGATTTCTACAAAATCTTTAAATGTCGTCTTTTCAATAAAAAGTCCAGAAAATCTACAGAAAATGTTTGTGAAGAATGAGAGATTACAGAAACTAATAACTGAATAAGATCGCTTATTTTCGATAAGAGTTAACTTTTATTTTCTCAACCTGTTCCTAAACAATTTATTAGTTTACTGTAGAATTTTTGTTACATTTTTGTCGTCGTTATTTATTAATTTTAAAAAATCTATTCTCAAAACGTAACCACCCAAATGAATGATTTTGAAAGTCGACTTTACGCTCAAACTCAGTAATTATACATCATTAAAACGTTTTATATGTCTCAATAAATCCTAAACAATTTCTCTACAATACTACATTCTCAGTATAACTGTCATTCATTGCAGGACACTCCCTTTAACAAACGATTTTACTGAATGAATGTTTTTACTAAACGTACGATTTATCTAAACGAAATTTATCAAAATGATAAACGAAAACGAAATGACATTAAAGAATTCAAGCTAACGATAGAAATTAAATTAGAGCTAAACAACCCAAAAATAAGAATTAAAATTGACCAATTACCGAAGGACAAACGAGTGAATTGAAAAAAAAACCAGGGAACAGGAATAAAAGGAAGGGAAATGGCGCTGGTCTGGCATGAGAAAGCCAGTCGCACTACAGCCTAGCAGACAAGTTCGTTATTACACACTCACACTCTATTGGTACAGACACACAATATGACTACAGTCTAGGAAATTGCAGAACAATTTTTCAGCTCTGACTGCTTAATGAATGCATCTAACAAGTTAATAGTTCATTTGACCACACTATTTAAATGGTTTTTGGCTACAGGCAAAATTCCTGCTTTTTTACTACTGTGCACATTAGTGCCCATAGTGAAGGACAACTTAGATGACATTGCTATCAGTGACAATTACAGGGCAATTGCCATTGGCAGCTTGATTCTAAAATGGTTTGACTGGTTGATATTAATTCTAAACTCTGATAAGCTGACCACAGATGAACTTCAGTTTGGGTTTCAGAAGCTAGCCAGTACTACAATGTGCAGCTGGGGGGTCAACTCTGTAGTGGATTATTATAACAGAGCTGGTANTTTAAAAAAATTTATTTAAACAAATTTAAACTACACCATTTATATATGTATTTATATCTTTGTGTGTGAATAAATCTTTATAATAATATAATAATTAAGCTTGAATAACGAGTAGTTTATTTTAAACTCAATTAAAATTATTTTTTGCATAAAAATTTGGCTTACAGTGTTGACTAAAATGTATAAATAATATATTACATGTATATTAAACTTAGTTTTAAGTAAACAATTAACAATAAACAAATGTACTCTCCTAGACTGTACAAATACCGAGATTCTTATGTACTGTATACACGTACAGTGCTCCTTCGGTTCGTTATTTCTTTCACACACTCTTTTGGTACAGACACAAATACATGACGCTTCCGTCCCCTGAAAAAAATCAAGCGTTGTGCACAAAGTCGTACGTTGTGCAGTACACTGTACACATGTTTCTTTTCGTGTACATATTTTCACTTTATCTATAAGTACATAAAACTTTGTGTTCGAAGTCACACTTTGTGAACTGTAGTCTCTCTTTACGTATATAGTCTCACTTTATGTACATGGTGTTCCTCTGATTGGGAAAGCAGTACGGTACAATAGACAGAAGAGAAATGATCCCAAAATCAGAATCCTTGTTTTGCTAAAAACAACAACAACAACTTCATGTCTTACTTCCCTTCACTTCTCTCGCTATATATGGATATGTATGTATGTATATATATACATATATATATATATAAATATATTGCTTATGTCTGTATGTATCCAATAAACGGCTGATGAAAAACTTTGCACGGAAAAAAGTTGATTTTTTTTAATGCGCCCATTTCAACAGAAAAATACGCAACAAACGTGAAAACGATTAAAATGGCAACAGTTATAAACTCAAATAGCTAATTACAGAATTGGGGGCGCGATCTACAAGCCAAGTTCATCTAATCTTGTAGACGTAATTTCAAGTGACTATCCAATTGAAGAGTGTAACGATTATAAAATTTTAACTGAGGTCTTTCTTCAAAAGTTACTACTTGCAGATTTTTGGCTACAGATACAATATAGGAAATTTTGAGAATTAAAATATAGAAGGTTCCTCGAAATCAAGCTCACTGTCTGTTAAAATATGCTAGTAAGTGATGGGGGGAAAAAAGTTTTATTGATGCAGATGCCTTGAAGCATAGATTAGTAACAATAAGACAAAACACTAGATATCGTCTTTTCAAGACTTAGGGGTTTTTCGTTCACAATAACCCTAAGGCAGAAGCCCAAAGGAGTTAAACGCTTGCCTTCTCTCTCTGTCTTGTCATTCAACGTGGCATGCACATAACTCATTTGGGCTCTGCCTCACCTCACCGCGTTATTGTTAACAAAAAACACCTAAATCTTCAAAAGACGACAACTGGTGTTCTATCTGCATTGTTATTAATCTATGCCTTGCAGTTTCGATGGCTAATGCTGTATTTTGCAACATCAGAACATTTTGAAGAATTAAAGAAGATAATTTGTAAAAATTGTAAAATATTTGTTGATTTTGTTTCCTGTGTGAACAGCTCCTGGCATTTTTGTGTACATGATATGTACAGCAGTACAAGAAACACTGTATACCAGAGTTCCTGCAGTACACCACATTTTCGAGATCTATACCTAAATCGCGATCAAGAAAATATGTACAGGGTGTCTAAATTAATGGGGAATAAGGGTCTGCAGGCTCGGTTGTAATACAATTTTTAAGATTGAGACCATTTTCAATATCTACGTACACTATCCGATTCAATGAGCCCAATTTAGGCAATTGTAGAATGTAGATTTAATTGTTGAGCGAGTAAATTTGGTAAAAAAAATAATCTCCCTTTGCACAATTTTGTAATCGGATTTTCAAAATAGAGACCTGTTTTATATATTTACGTACAATTTCCGATTTATTAAGCGCAATAGATAGTAAAATGACAAAGCCCCAAAGCCTAATTTACTTTACGAATTTGAGGTCAACATCAGGAGAGAAATAGCTGCCCTGGGCTCTGGTGTCTATCAAAAGGCTTTTTTGAAGTTAGATCAAGGGCCCAAAAGTATCTTGCTGCTAATGGTGGACATTTTGAAAAAGATTGTAATAAACTGTAATAAACTGTAATCTAACATTGAATACAAAATTGTGCAAACGGAGATATACTTTTACTTTTTACTCTCTCCCATCGGGGGGGCGGAGGGGGGGGGGAGATGAAGATCTGTGGATTAAAATCGTGAAAGTATACACTTTACATATTTTCAAAATACTTCCCACTGTTTTTGCCCTGTATATTTTCCTTTCTCATGATCTATGGGGGGGGGGGGGGGGGGGCGGCAGAAAATTGATATGATTTCTATTAACAGTGAACAAATGTATATTTGGCGACTTTAGAAGATTAGTCTTTACATAGAACTAAATTTTACCACTTGACTTTCTCTAAAATTTGAAATTATTAAATATGTTGAAAATGTTCCTTGATGAAGTAGAAGATTACAAATATCTCCATCATGTACTGTTCCAACTGTACACGGTAGATGTACAACAGGAGTAGTACTACCTCTCTTCCAATCCTGACAAAAATTTTTATGTAATTTCATGACAGATACATTTGGTTAATTTACGTTCGGTCAATTTACGTTGGTTTATATTACGCTTAGTCATTTCAGATTTGGTCAATTTACATTTGGTTAATTTACATTTGGTCAATTTACATTTGTTTAATTTACGATTGGTCAATTTACATTTGTTTAACTTACATTTATTTAATTTACGTTTAGTTTGGTCAATTTATACATTTAGTTAATTGACATTTGGTCAATTTACATTTGTTTAATTTACGTTTAGTCATTTCAGATTTGGTCAATATATACATTTAGTTAATTTACATTTGGTCAATTTATATTTGTTTAATTTACGTTTAGTCATTTCACATTTGGTCAATTCACATTTGGTTATTTTACGCTTAGACATTTCACATTTGGTCAATATATACATTTAGTTAATTTACATTTGGTCAATTTACATTTGCTTAATTTACGTTTAATCATTTCACATTTGGTCAATTTACATTTGGTCCATTTAGATTTAGTCAAGAGGTCTGTAGGGCTGGGCATCGTTCCTGGGGAAAAATCTTTCTTTTACGAGAACGAACAGAAACTATCAAGAACGATCCCAATGTTTCGAAAAAAAGAACTAACACATAGAACGGGTTCTTAAAAATATTGGTACAATTATTACGAACGTGGAACGAATGAAATTGCTTGAAAAGAACGTTAAAATCAAGTCCGCGTGCTTATTATCAGGAACGTGTAAGGTATTCAGAATGGTGAGGGGAAGTATGTTTGCTAAACTATATAATAAAATAGGGAGGAAGGGGGAGTGGAGGGGGAGGGGTGTTAAACAATGTAGATACATAAACATATTATTACAAATATACAGGTTGAAATAAAAACAGGGGGGAAAGAAGAGGGATTAAAATAATAAAAAATTGTATTTTCTTACCCTCAAGTGTATTTGTCCTAAAAACAGAGCGAAAGGAAGTAAATTTCATGTGCAATAAATATTTGAATGTAAAGAACAGAATGAGGATGGAACCGTTCTTGACAAAGAACACAACGAACGGAACGGAACAGAATGAACTGTTCTCAAGTAAGAACGGAAAGAATGGAACGGATAGGAACGTGGATGGAACGATTGGAAAAAAACGAACGAGGACGGTAGGATCCAGCTAAAGGCCCTCGTTGTAGAACGGAACAAAACAATTTTTAAAAAGTCGGAACCTGCCCAGCTCTATGGAGTGTGGGGATAGCTGCTTTCAGGGGTTAGGAGTGGATCCTGCGATCTTTTTCCCTCATTATACAGTACACCAAAGTTTATTAATTTGTGCATAATTACAGATAAATACCTGGAGGTAATGAGGTAGATAAAAAAGAACAGAGACTCCCTAAATATTATAGGGGGTAAAAAGGCGTATTCTGTTTTGATACCGCCAATGGCCATTATACATGGCGGGCTGGAACAGAAACAAAAATAAATCAAATAACAAAAATTGAAAATGTTAAAATTATAGAAAACGAAAAAAGCTGAAGAATTATTACAAAATTACCAAGATACATTTTAAATATTGTTTCAAGAATCATGCGGCCAAAATTTGGTTGACATAGAAATGCCAAAATTTATCAAACGATATACAAGTTCTTTTTATCTGTATCGGAAGATTTTCATTTTATATTCTGATCTCTCATTCAAAATTCTTTAAAAGCAGCGCAAGAATTCTGACATACTTAAATATTTAAAATAAAAAGCCAATAAAAAGATCAAAAAGTAGTAAATATGAAAATTTTTTATTTAGGGTTAAAATGGGTACTATTGACGTAAGACTTACTAAACTTTAACTGTGCCCTCTAACTTACTGTGTAGGTGGCTTCATATAACAATAAATAAGATAGATAAAATATGTGCAATAATTGTTGACGTCTAATTTACTTAATGAAAACCTGATCCTTGACGTAATTTGTGTAAAGAAAAAGTAAACATACCTATAATCCACCATGTTTCTCTTAAAGCGTAGACCAACCCGATTTATACTGCCTCTGAACACAGTTCTAAAAAATGTCATTACAATGCTTGTAAGTACGTAACCTGAATCCCCAGAGCTGGAATTTTTCCCTTCCGTACTTTTTACTAACATGGATGTCTCCGATTGCGTTCCTCCAAGTACGGTGAAACACACTCCCCTTGACGAACTCGAATCCCCAGCGATGGGATTTTGCCAGCCACACCTTTTATTAATATTGGACGGATCGTACTGTGTCCGTTCTCAGTATGGTAAAACACAACCCCCAGAGGGTAAAAAAAAATGGAAAGCATAGACAAATTTTACTATGTGCTGATACTTATACTTAGGAAGACATCTACGGACTCTGTCTGTGTTCTTTGGGAGCTACAGTTTACGTGGTTCTGACTGGTTTGCCAATGTAAGAACTATACCAACCTATATGACAGCTGATCGGACTAAACGCAATCAAAATGAAGGACTATGTGTACCAAAAGCAGCAAAAGGGAATGTAAAAACCACATGACATCATATTTCTTAACAAAAATATTGGTGTTTACAAAACCGCCTGAAACCATTCATGAAACCAGGTTTGCTATATTGGGTTTCATTTCGATACTCTGTCTTAAGTTTGCCCAAAACTGATCCCAAATAAAACTATACCTTGACAAGCGAACTGCCCGGATGTATGTGATGAAGTAGGTAACGGTGAAGAAGGTCAGGAACGCTATGGACATTAGCCGACCCTGTCATAAAAATCTCGGTTAAAAAGTCTGTAAGCGCAATTACAAGTGATCCTACATGCAAAGATGGAATGCCCGATTCACAACGGTACATTTGAAACTTTTATCTGATCAATAACGCGGAAGATATAAGTATACTTACTTACTTACTTAAAAGTATACATTGAGCATCTAATTTATCATACAAAGCTTTTTAAGATACCGATGTGATTCAGATATTGCCATTGTTGCATGGAGGGTCAATTAAAAGTCTGCTTAATGCCCCTTTAAGTAACAAGATTGAACCTAAAAGAATGGAAATATTGAACCTAAAAGAATGAAGGTGGAAAAAATAATCAAAACAGCCAAGAGCTATTTTCCACCTAATTGCTTTATACTTGTACTGTTAATATAATCATCAATTTTGTGATTGTAAACTCTATCTGTATACAGATACATTTATTTTAGCAATAAACTTTATCCTATCTTATCTTATCTTGAACCTTAAAATAATGGAAATATTAAACCTTAAAAGAATGGAAATATTGAACCTTAAAAGAAGGGAAATATTGAACCTTAAAAGAATGGAAATATTGAACCTTAAAATAATGGAAATATTGAACCTGAAAAGAATGGAGGAAAGGAACTTTAAAATAATTTACGGCATTTATTCAAAAACATAATCTAAGAAGTAAAATTCTAAAGTAAATAAATACAAAACACTTCTAGTTTTGGCATTTCCAAAATTTGGTCTACCTTTTTGTGCTTTCAAAATTACGTGAGATTTTCGTCAAGATTTCGAGAATTTTGGTTTTATTTAAAAAATTCAAATACGAACGAAATTCTTTTATTGGCAGCTTAACTATTGTCATGTTTTCACGGACACTGTTCTTACCTTAGATGCAATTGGTTTTGTAAACTCCTTGACCTTATGCCTGAAATTTATAAAATTAATTAACAGAAAAAAATCAATTGGGTTTCATGCACAGAACAGAGATTAGAATAGAAAGGAAATTAGACAATCCCTCGGTATGTATTTTGTCAGTCCCTTTGAGTCTGAAAATTTGACACAGTACATCACACTAATACAGTATTATCCTTGGACATATCCGTTACCAAGGATATAATGCAAGGAAACTTAATTGCAGTTGCGTATACTCTGTGTACATATTGAAACCAGTTCTCTCTGGACGGAATTTGTAAACAAGAATAGGTGCATTAGTTTTTGTTTAGTATCCGAGGAGGATAAAAGCATTTAATTTTAATAATTTTGATAATTCACATAATAGTTTCCTATGACCAGAATATTTCAGGCTATGACACCCGTCTTGTGTTTACATTACCGCCCAGAGATAGTACACTGCAGTATAAAAGACGCATACACCTCTGAAATAACTTTCCTTGCATCAAAACCTTATTGGTTACAATTTCTTTTTTTTTGCAAAGTTGTTAAATAACTTTTAGCGTGTGTATTAGCTATAGATGACTTTGAATTATTAATTAAATTGCAGACTAAATCTAAAATGGCTAAACTTATAGTCCTGTAGGAATATTTTAAAATGTATTCTAATATCACTGTAAACTCCGGTTCATTTCAAGTACCGAGCCCACTTCTAAGGAGTTAAGAGAATGATAGATTACAGACAAAACAGTCAGAAACGGGACAGTAAACCAAATGAATCGGTTCTATCTGGTGAGATTCTAGTGCAGGTAACAGAAGAAATATAAAATGGCTAGTCCTGAATTGAAATATTTAAAATGTTTATCTATAGCAGAATTTAACTAAAATGGCTATCTACAGCAGAATTTAACTAAAATGGCTATCTACAGCAGAATTTATCTAAAATGGCTATCTACAGCAGAATTTATCTAAAATGGCTATCTACAGCAGAATTTATCTAAAATGGCTAGCCTTTGATAGAAAGATTTAAACATGGCTACCCACAGCAGAATACATCTAAGATGGCTATATAGTCTTGCAGACAGTACGATTTTAAAAATGGCTACCCAAAACAGACTAATAGAAAGAATGTTAGATAACTACCCAAAACAGAACAAATCTAAGATGGCTATAGCCCTGCAGACAGTAAGATTTTGAATAGAAACATTTTTAAATAGCTACCCACCCGTGACAGAAGACGACGACAAACATGTTTGCCGGGAACTCTTTATCTGAGAAGAACCAGAGAGAGCTCAACCAGAAGGATAAGAGAAGACTGAAGCAGACGTAGCAGAACTCCAGCATGTTTGTACCTGAAAGGGATTGTTCATTAGTTTAAGGAATGCCCACATGATACCCGATATTTATGATTAAGAACATAACCCTTATCGCTCTAGAATGTCCAAGAAAGCTAATTAATCAATAAATTGACAAGAAACCTGATTTTCTTGAAAGCGTCGAGGTTCTGGCCATTTTCGACAAATAAGAAAGGTAAAAGTACGTTCCTAATGATCCCTTATTACCAATAATGACGCAATATGTTTTTTACTGAAAGGCGAACAGTTACCTCTAAACCCGCTAGTTGGATATTCATAGAGATAAATCCACTTAAAATGTTTTTTTCTTAAAGTCGTCAATTAGACTTTTTAATTGAAATATCCAAGAAAAATTGGACTTCGTTAAATAGAGTGAGGGATGGATCAAGGTACGGATAGAAATGATCACCTCACCTTCTTTAATGAGATATTCTGGATACTTGATGAGGAAGAGTCTCACAAAAACTGCGAAGAAGCTTGGCCAGATCAGAAACATGGAGTGAATATTTTCCAGACTGAAAATATAAATAATATTTTATCAAAAATTTTTGTTTTAAATTATTTATTATTGTTTGCCGAACCATGCTTCTTTTCTGAGATATTTTTTTTGTTTAAAATATTTAAATGTTTGAGAAAATGAATATGAAAATTGTATTTGCAAAAGATTTTTAATAAAATCTTAGAATTTTAGTTTTTTTATTGACATGAAAAAAATATTTAGGGTTCAAGGTAAAAGCAAAAACTAATAAACTATTCATTAAAGGACTTCTTCATTTGACTATCCATTTTTAGAGTGGCATATGATCATTGGTCATGATGTTAGTCTGATTCACAACAGTACTCTTCAACCTTTTCTAATCAAAAATGAGAAGAATATTGTCGTTTTTACATACTGTTGAGTTTTGAGAATTATAAAGAACCAAGTCAATCTCAAAAACATATAAAACATATTAATAAGAGGGAACACTCCATATTTCCTCAGACAAAGGTGAAACAAGAATATTTTCAATTCGGACTTCCTACTCTTTATACATGGATGGTACAGAATATATAAAGAAATAAAGCTATAGCCAAAGAGAATAGAATATATATAAGAGTGGAATTTAGACAATCCCTCGGTATGAATTTTGTCAGTCCCTTTCAGCCTGAAAGGGAGTTCAAAGTATACAATTCATGTAAATGTTCACAAATTATTTGCAGTAGAGTTCATTAATACAGTATGTTCCCGGCCATTTCAATTTCGATTTTTTTAAAGTTTATTATTAGATTGATTTCTATCAACGTGTGCATGACAGGCTATCAAAGAATTGATTTAGAGAAAATAAAATAATGTTCAAGAAAACTTTTCTATTAAATGATGTTCCAGGGCTCAAAAGGTTATATAGCATAAATATGTGAAGTGCACCTGAGTAGGGAAACAGTAAAACAAAATGGCCGTTTTACACTTTTACGAGTAAATTCTACTCTAATATATATTCTATTCTCTTTGGCTATAACTAAGAAATACAACCTGAAAAAGTTGGTGCATTCCCTAACATCTTGGGTTTCCGCGAAGATGAGAACCCAAAGCTGATATAAACTCAAATTCTGCAACATAAAATATCAAAGAAATATTCTTTGGAGAGTAANAACAATTTCTCGCTTATTTTGAACGTAAATTTATTCTTTATTACCTCAGATCCCGCGCAAGTAAACAAACTGATCCGTACTGCAAAATAAATCCAAAATAAATTCAAAATAACACTGCAATAATTTAAAACAAAATGATAATGTTCCATTCATTAACTAATTTACTGAAAATACAAAGTATAAACGGACATACCTCCTTGTTCGACAGACAGAGCACAAATGGTGCTTTGTTTACATTTGCAGTACATTGTTTGTTTACTTTCGGGAAATCCGGAAAATATGTAAAAAATATTGCTAGATTATTTAAATTAAAATTAAATATTAAACGAACAATTATTAAACCAGGAAATCAAAATCATACAACATTATTATTATTATTATTATTTTGTTTATTATTATTATTATTTACTATTATTATTATTAAGTATATAGACTACCTGGACCGTGTACATAATCTGTACAACAATTCTCCAGAGATCCATGTATTTAGGGCTCCAAGTACAGGAGGAAGAGATCCAACTAAAAAATATTACTTAGATCCAGAATGTTACGAAAAGTTGCATCAATTTCCACGGCTGGGTCGACTTTGGTTTTTCCAATTTCTTGCATTACACTACAAATAAAGTGCATTTGTCAGCATTTAAGAAATGTAGAATCAACAACATTACAAATGCATGACATTTTTTGCTATACATATAGAAGTTTCATTGTATAGTACTGTGGCGGAAGACGACTCAAGATGAAGAGGCTGAAGCCGGATATTCGGACGCGGCAAGATGAACATTCTATTCCTGCCACGTCACCTTGATATATGTTTTCGATTAAGATAAATTAGGTTTAAAATATTAGTTAATAAAGTATTTCTTTAAACCTTGACGTGTATTATTGAGCGTAGCCAAAGTACATTTATTTTTGTTAATCTAATCATAAAAAGATTTTATGCAAAATTACTGCCATGACTTTATGAGCTCTGATAAAGAAATATTTATTGAATTGCAAATCAAAAAACCAAAACTAATTAATTTTCGTCTCAATATCTCTTAATTAAAAAGAGGAATTATGAATGAAAAAATACATTCAAAGAGTAAAGACCTCCCAAGGGGGGGGGAGAGCATGGGGGTTCAGTCCATGGATTAGTGAAATCTATTTTTCCAAGCTGGGTTTTCACCCCCCCCCCCCTCTGGAAGATGCAGCCACCCATAGACAAATTTCAAACTAACAAAAAATTTACCATCTCTATGGCGTATAGGGCGCCCTTTCCTTTAAAAATTTGAGCTTTTCACGTTTGCTCTGAAAGCGACACACTTTCAAAACTAATGATAGTTGACATTTTTTTTCGGACAAAACTCTTCAAATTCGCATTTTTCGCAAAACAAATCATTTCGAAATTTCTCTAAAATAGCGAATATTTTTGATTTCCCTTTTTCGGTGTAAACCTTTTTACAAACTTGAATATACCTATGTAAGTAAAAGAATGAAAGAGTGGCATTGCTTAATGTTTATTCTCCACAGTTAGGCTCATTACTGTTCTAGAAGATCAGAGAAGGCAGAGCGAGAAAACTCTCTATTTGAAAATGTCCTCGATTTTATTAAATAGACATATCGGTTTGTCCAATACCAGGCCTGTAAATTGTAACTAAGTTTTATGCTATTGTTAACAGTCAATCCCTTTCTTTGAACCCTCCAAAGAAAAACAAAAGACAACATTTTTATTTTTACATTCTTAACTTCTTGTAGTTTTCAGGTGGGAACCTGAACCTGTACAACACTGTACAGCACACAGTACAGATACATGGTGCACTGTACAGTGTACAGTGTACATTACACGTACACTGAAGTGGTCTGACAGGGAATCTGTTCTTGTTTATTGTTCATTAAATCTTATTCAACAATTTAAAAATATTTCTTCTTTAATAATTCTTATTTTAGATATTATATTATTTTCATTCTTTTCATAAATTCCTTGTAAATGAAATTATATCTGCTTATTTTAAGAGGGTTCTACTAATATTTTTGTATGAAGATAAATATATCAATTAAAAATTAAAAATAAACAATTTGAATTGTAACTTAAACAAAATATAATTATAAGAAGTATGACAATATGAATCATATCAGACTGCACTTTTTATTGTTCTTTAGTTAGTTTGGTCTTACAATTATACATTGAATATGGTCTGTTGTTTTATAAACAAATCCTTTTGACTCACCTGATGTCGGACTCTCGGACAAGAATGAAATATTTGGAATTGATGAGAGCAGAGCCCGTTTTCTCCATTAATGTTTAAACAGTGGTCGTGTTGTTCACGTACTTTGGGGGACGATTATAGTATGGCCGCTAGATGTCTCTCGTACGAACTATCTATCTATCAGATAAGAATTTTGCGTGAGACATCTAGCGGCCAAACTATCGTCCCCCAAAGTACGTGAACAACACGGCAACTGTTTAAACATTATTATGGAGAGAACGGACTCTGAGGAAAACTTGAAATACAGGGTTACCAACAAAAAAGGAAACTTGCGATTGTATGGAATTTGTTCTATCCATATTCTTGCAATCGTGGTTCCTCGTAGGACAAAACTGCATTTTTTCTGTGATTAATAAGTGAGCCAAACTAAAAAATTAAGCTTAACATTGTTTAGAGTTTGAGGTCGTCTTAACTGTCTCATCCTTTGTATTTGATCCTGTAAATCAATTGGTATTTCTTAAAAATGAACCATGCACATTGAGCATAAGTTCAAGAGGTGCATGATCCTAACCAGTAAAAGGTTTGTCTGGTGTAATGTTTACTTTTTACTCAGAGAGGGGCATCCTCTGCTATATATACTGAAGAAAAGAACTTCTATTTGTCACAAAATTCACAATTTACTGACATTGATTTTTCCAAAACATCAATTAATTCCGTAAAAATCAAAATTTTCAAAAATGTTATTTTTTCAAATATTTGGGTATTATATCTTACAGATCAATTCTTTTGAAGAAAATTATAATATTTGAAAATTCTAGCCATCCAAGCCCAACTTTTATTTAAATTTCAGGTAGAGACATCTAGTGGCGAAACTCAGAAGGTCCTAATCCGACCTAATACGACCTAAATCCAACTTAAGGGCACTGGTTAGGTTGTGACCAGTTTGGTAATCCATGACCATGCAAGTTCTAATTTGACTTAAGGTTCAAGTTATGAACATTTAAAGGACCAGTTAGGTAAAGCATCCAAGTCCGACCTAATCCAACCCAATCCAGTTAGGTCTCCTGACTTAACTCGACCAATCACGACCAAATCTGACTTAAGTGGATTGGTCAGGTTAAGACCAGTATGAGACCAGTTAGGTAACTCGACCTAACCTGACCAAACACGACCTAGGGGGACTGGTCATGTTTCGACCAGTTTGGTAATCTACGTAACCCGACCTAACCTGACCGAATGGGACTGGTCAAGCGACGTCGCTGGTTTCTAGGGTAGAGATTATAAAATCAGAGTTTGTGGCAATCCCTCAATTTAGAACCGAAACTCAAGTTGAATGGCCGAAGTGATTTTCTGGTTAGGGTTGCCAGATGGCTCTTTTTGGAGCCACATTTAAATTATGAAATGTTCCTCTGAATAAAGGAGGTGCAGTGATTTTCTGTTTTAAAATTAACACACCGCCTCCCCCCACTCTACTTGTTAACCAACTCAAAGCTATAATATATATTTATTGTTTACAAGGTCTGGCCTGTATTTTGTCTGGGTAGCAACATAACAGTGTCTAATGTCTATAGAATATTCTAGAAAAGATGATGAAATGTTCTCTACTCTACGTATAGGGTTAAGG